AGACTCCTCAGATTCTTCCTTCTTTGCTTCCACTTTCTTCTCCTCAGCTGGGGCAGCAGCAGTAGAGGGGGCAGGACCGCCTGCTGGTGCGGCTCCAGCTGCTGGAGCAGGCCCACCAGCCCCTACGTTGCAGATGAGACTCCCAATGTTGACATTGGCCAGGGCCTGCAACACAAACGGACAAATAAAGCTTTCACTCCTGCCCTTTATGTTCCAATGACTTGTTCTGTTTGGCTTTTTCGAGACCAGACCAATGCACAGGACCAGTCAATACACAAGCAAAATTGATATTCAGAGTTAAAGGTGGGCCTGTATTTGGTTGCTGTTTTCAAAGTACATGAATTTCCTCTCATAGTGGGAAAATTTGTTCTAAGTAACCCAAGAGAATGGGCAGATTTTCCAAATTTCTAAACTCTTTGAACCCAGCCCCTTCAGTTGGCTGACCTCCTAGAAATAAAGCAATTTGTACAGAACCTACGTAGCTTTCTATTCTACAAGAATCCTGTTTGTTTCAAATGCCCAAACTTAAGAGGCCACTAAACTCAATTTCTACAAAATATGTACTAGAACACATAAAAGATTTTTCTTGGAGTAACACGGTTAAAGTTTTTAATCTGTTAGAAACCGGGGACTGATAGAAAAGCTACACCATTAAGTACAAACTAAGGTACAAAATCCAAGAGGGGCGGTGGAAACAGTACATTAGCAAGACTTCCCCAACTCTTACCTTTGCAAACAAGCCAGGCCAGAAAGGTTCAACATTGACACCAGCTGCTTTAATGAGGGCATTGATCTTGTCCTCCTGGAATACAAAGCCAATCCATCAGAGCGATCAGAATACGGTTAAAACCAAGTCCCAGAAGTCGCCTATACAGTTCCAGAAGTTGCCAATTCGGGCTTTCTAAGGGCAGCTCATGAATCTTAGTCTTATAAAAGACATCGGCCAGGTATGAAGGCTCGGGGGACTAGTGCGATTGCCTCCTAAGCCTGACGACACGAGTTCGAGTCCTAAAAGCAAGTAGAACGATAATCCTCTCTAGCATTTGACCTCTGGCAAACACAAGCGCGCTCACGACCGCCGTTCACGGCTATTGGATCGCGAGAGTAGGAGAGCGCGTGCGCGCCAAGGGCCTCCAAGGCATCGAATATCCGAGAAGGCGGCGAGTCGGCCAACCGAGTGCCTGGTCCCCGCCAGCACCACACGTGGCCGCCCCGCGGCTCCCCACGCCGCGCACTCACCGTGACCGTCACCTCGTCGTCGTGCAGGATGAGGGCGGAGTAGATGCAGGCGAGCTCGGAGACGGAGGCCATGTTGCGGACTGCCGGCACGGTGCTAGTCGCCGGATGAAGTGAGGGCCTCACCCCAACGCGGCCTTAGCTTCCTCGGAAGAACCGAGCACCTTGGCGGCAGCTGAGGAAAGGGCCACACGCGCCTGCGCGCAGCCTCTTATGGGGGCCGTGTCGACCAATCGATGCCCGGCTCCGAGCGGAAGGGGCAGAGCCAAAAACGAGAGGCGGTGCCTGCAGAACGCAGTTCCGGAGTTGCGCGCTCGGCTTCCGGTTTGGCCGGCGTGGGACGGCTTGCGAGCGTTGGAAGTGCTAAACTTTACGGTTTAGCTAAGAGGAAAGTTATCTGAGGAAAACGCACTGGTTCTGTCCCTTGCTTTTTTTTGCTTTGGTTTGGTTTTTTGTTTTGGTTTGGTTTTTTTCAAGACAGGGTTTCTCCGTGTAGTTTTGGTGCCTGTTCTAGATCTCTTTAGAACAGGTTGGCCTCGAACTCACTGAGATCCGCTTGGCTCTGCCTCCCGAGTGCTGGGATGAAAGGCGTGCACCACCGCCGCCCGGCCTGTCCCCTGCTTTAATTAGCAGGAGCGCTCCGCGGCTTGGGCACACTGTCTGAAAGAAGTCAGGAGCTGACTGAAGCCCTCACGGTCACGTGGCCGGCCCCACCCCCGCACCTGGCGCGCGCGCGCGCTTAGCCCAGAGTCAGATGAGAAGGTAAATACCATAAAGGGTCTGGAGTTGTATATCAAATGCAGTGAATCGAGGTTAAACAGGACACGTCATCTCAAGAAAACTCTAAAGTCATTCATTACATTAAGAAAGCACAGAGGTGCCTCGGAGGTTAAGCCATTTTACTGCTCTTCCAGAGAACCCGAGTTCGATTCTGCCACCCCAAAACTCGGTCCAGGGAATCGGATCCTGGCCAACCAGAGCAGACATGCTCACATACACATAAAAGAAAGCACTATTTTTAAAAGGATCATATAAAATATGGTGGGAAAAATAAACACAGAAGGGAGGAGGGACCACGTGATGAAATTTGGCAACTAATCACATAGACTCCTAGAAAACTAGGAGAGTAACTTTCATAACGCGATAAGGAGCAAACATTCAAAGCAAATACCTTTATTTCGAGACAGGGTTTCTCTGTAAAACAGCCCTGCCTATCCTGGAACTCACGCTGTAGACCAGGCTGTCCTCGAACTCGCTGAGATCCACCTGCCTCTGGTAGTGCTGGGGTTAAAAGGCTTGCGCCACCACCGCCCAGCCCAAAACAAATATCTTAATAGAGAAAAAAAAAAACTTAAACATTCTTTGAAAGTGGGGAACAGACATGAATGTCTTCCTTTGCTTTTGCGTGAGTGCATGGCGCTTTATCACAGCAATAGGAACCCCAAGACTGCTCGTACACACAAACAAAAACTTAAAAACTCAAAATACCCATCAGGTTGTGGAGCTCTTGGACAGTTTGTCTAAAGGTGGCGTTTGTTTTTCAGAGCTAGGGACTTGAAATCAGAACCTCATGAATACTAGGCAAGTGGTTTACCAAAAAACACCTTCAACGTGTGATGTTGCTTTAAAGTTCATATAATTCCGATTTCAGCACCACAAACAAGCTATGAAGCAGTTATCAAGAGGAACCTAAGTGGAGCAATATAGTTTTCACAGATAAGACCTTCAGTGGATAATTCTCCCCAAATTATATAGTTCCAACCATAAGTCTATTCATGATCTCAGTGGAATTTGACAAGCTTGCCTCAAATCTTTAAAACAAAAAACTAACAGGGTGTCATTTTTCCCAGCTAATCTTGACCTTGCTATGTAGCTGAGGATAACCAGGAATGTAGGATCTTCCTGCCTTCACCTGGGTGAAGGTTCATTACAGACTGTTCATGCAATGCTAGGGATCAGTTCCAGAGCCTGGTGTACCCTATGCAAGCAGTCTACCCACTCAACTACATCTCAGCCCCCTTATTATATAACCTTACTATACAACCCAGGCCGCTGGCCTTGAATTTGTGGTAATCCTTGTCTCAACCTGCTTAGTCCTGGGATTAGCACTTGCACCACCACACCTGGCCCTAGAGGAATTCTTTCAAGTGTTATTGGCAATGCAAATAGATGCACAGACTACCAGAGCTAGTAGGCAGACTCTCATGCTATTGAGAACCTGGTAATGTGGGCAGAAAGTCGAGATCCAAAGTAGGAGCATGCGTGGGTGCTTCAAAACAAAGCTCTACCAAAGGATGGGGAGTGGGGCGGTGGTGCACGCCTTTAATCCCAGCACTTGGGAGGCAGAGCCAGGTGGATCTCTGTGAGTTTGAAGCCAGCCTGGTCTACAGAGTGAGATCCAGGCCAGGCACCAAAACTACACAGAGAAACCCTGTGTGTGTGTTTGGGGGCGGGGGAGATGGGAGGGTAGAATGTATTCCTTGCATGCTAAGGACATGAAATCCATCCCTGGCATCATAAATAAAGGTGCCATAAAAAAAAGTCATGGGCAGGAAGATCCAAAGTTCCAAGTTGCAAAGGATACAGTCTTACACACCCCAACACTTACTAAGTAGTTTTATTGCAAAGGCTCTTGTATTTGAGAAACCAAACTCACAATCAGGAAATACTCATTAAATCAATGAGATCCTATTTCATGTCTATCAGTTCTGAGAGTTGCTAGTGAGAATGGCAAAAGAACACATTTACAAAAATCTAGTTCAAGCTGGGTGTGTGCACAGCCGACAACCAGCACTTCTCACCATTGTCTCTACCCTCAACACTCTAGAGTATGCACGAGGGGCCAACTGCAACACAAGTCTCTGCGGTATAAAGAAAACTGCACTCTGAGTGATGGAGCACACAGAAAAGTCCTGTTAAATCTGGCTTCCTTCCATGCAAGGCTTTGACAGTGAGCACATTCCCTCAGAGGAATGCCTGAGTTATAGAAATCAAAGCTGGTTTTCAACCAAATTAGCCATTAGGAGCTAAGAAGTGTCCAGCAAAGCTCATGTATTAAGATAGGACAAACATGGTATTTTGATGTTGGACTTGGCTTTATAAGCTGACTTTGGGGTCCATGAGCAATATCTTAGTCTGTTTCATACCCCATAAAGTTCATTCATTCACAGCCAAGTTTCTTTTTATATTTTTTAAATTTTATATTTAATTTTACATATCAACCACGGATTCCCCTGTCCTCCCTCCTCCCCCTGCCCCCGCCCTCCCCTCAATCCACCCCCCCCCCTTCCCATCTCCTCTAGGGCAAGGACTCCCCTGGGGAGTCAGCTCAGCCTGGTAGATTTGGTCGAGGCAGGTCCAGTCCCCTCCTCCCTTCACCCAGGCTGAGCAAAGGGTCCCAGCATAGGCCCCAGGCTCCAAAAAGCCAGCTCATGCACTAAGGACAGGTCCCAGTCCCACTGCCTGGGGGCCTCCCAAACAGTTCAAGCTAATAATAGACTGTCTTACTTATCCAGAGGGCCTGATCCAGTTCCATGGGGGCTCCTCAGCTATTGGTTCATAGTTCATGTGTTTCCATTAGTTTGGCTATTTGTCCCTGTGCTTTTTCCAATCATGGTCTCAACATCTCTCGCTCATACAACACAGCCAAGTTTCTATTCTCTAGTGCTCTCCCTTATTGTATCCCACGAATACCGAGTACCAGATAAACAAGATACTGTAGGTGCTTGGGAGCATGCTGAGTGAATGTCCACTCTACAACTCTGTGCTTCTTAGTGCTTTTTATTTCAATTCTTTTGGCATATATAAAAGCAGAAAGTGAATATATACATACAGAATTCTAAACACCTTCCTAAAATGGCTTTACCATTGGCCAGTCACCATCTTTATTTTGAAAGTCTTAATTGTTAAATATGTCTAAAGTGCATTTTTTTGCAGCTAATCAATAGCAGCATTTTGTTTTTTGTTTTTTTTTTTATAAAACCTTAGAAAATATTCAGAACAGTTGGAAAAGTCACAATAAAAAATACGATGTGATCTAGATACATTCTTCTGCAGGATGACTCAGACACGGTGTCTGGCACAGCTTTGGAGAAATCACCAACTCAACCAGAAACATTCTTCTGCTACCAGAGCTGTCAAGTCAAGGCTTCTTGCGCCTAAAACACAAAAAGCAGCATTTAAAATTGAATTCTGCACTTAGCAACACAGTCACGACAAATGATTCTTTAGGAACATTGTGAGAATTCCTTTTATCAGAAGAAAATTCAAGCCCTTGGAGCAAGCAAGTAACGTACAGAATATAACAGGAGGCAGCTCCCCTGTTCTTAGCCCACTGCAGCCACCTTCCAAATTACCCAAGGAACTAACCCAAGGTTAAAAATGTAGAGTGAGATGTATAAACATTGGTTTTATGAAATATGGAAAAATAGGCTAGCTCCCTAGTGTGGATTTAACAGAAGAGCAAATGTGTGCTTCCTTCAACATGAATTCTGGCATTCGGCTTCACCTATCTATAGAACATGTACCCCTGTTCCAAAGCCATGAGGTCCATGAGGTAAGAGTGACAGACACAACACTGTCATCCCCAGTGTCTGAGTCATCCTGCAGAAGTGCAAAGAATTCAGAGACCTTAGCTGAGAGCAAAGCCTTGTCTATGATCCCAAAGGCAGCTAGTATTCAACAGTTTTGTGTATTATATTCTTTGTCGTACTTAATAGAGAAAGACACGCCCCCTTCACCTCTTCCCAGGTGCTCTCAGCTCAGCCTCAAAGATTGAGAAGTGGCCAAGTATGAGCCAAAGCCACCAATCTGCTGACACCTCCTCCAGCAGCTTTTACAGCACTCTGGAGAGCTCGGCACTACAAAGGCCGACCACACATTGTCAGCAGGGCCCAGGTAAAGCAGAGTGAGGCGCAGCTAGAGTAGCAGTGGTGATGGAAAGAAAGCCTGGGAGAGGGAGGGAGGGAGGGAGGACACAGCAGGGCTGGCTGTGGTGCTCACTTGGGTTGTGCATGGTGCTGATATCCGGGGCCCAGCTGAGATCCTGCTCTCATCTCAACAGCAACGGAACACTAGAGGAAAGTGACAGAACAGGGAAAGGTCAGCTCCAACGATCCAGAAGCAGACGTCCATGTAGATGGGCTCTACTGCGATGACATCCAACACTGCTCTAGTTCAGCGAAGACACCTAGGTTAAACCACTAGTCACACACTTACGATCCATTTCTGCACAGGCAACAAGAGCAAGAAGGGCCTGGGAGAGTGCCCAGGTATCTTTTGCATCTTAGATAAGGATGGAGAGAGGGGAGTCCTGAAGACGCTGGTGGCCAGGCCTTGCCTGATTCCTCCCTTAGGAGCCTTTCCTCAGAGGTAATAGTCACAGGGAGCACTGGGCACTGCTGTGGGTTAGTCCATCTGCTATGAGTTTTGTTAATCTGGAGCAATACTTCCGGATCCACTCTTGACCCCTCGTCCCCCCCATACACATACGCACGCACGCATGTGCACATACACAGAGGACTTCTAGTATGCAAGTGCCCTACCAGAATGTTAGTTACAGGTCTCCAGGCTGCATGGGCAGTATGTGGTCCTGCCTTAGCAAGTTCAAAGAGCACAAAGTGCTACAGCACTATGCAGCTAATTTTAGCAAGCAAGTATTTAATTTTACCCCTACCCTTGTTTCTACATCGGTCCATTCAGACTCTGTACCATCTGGTTGGGCAGGTGCTACTGTGGACGATCTTCGTTTTCGACTACTGAAAAAGGGGAAACATGATGCAACAATCATTTTTGCATCTAAGAAGAACGGAAAACATTAGAAGGGGGAGAAGCCACCTACACCCCTGCGGAGAATTAATGATAAACCTCACAGGGTATTCTGTTCCTAAGAACAAGAGACTACGAAACAGCCCTTTAGAGAGAGATTTGTGACCAACTCACCCAGTCGGCGACTCTTGTTTTAAAGTCTCTATATCAGTAAACTGAACAGATTGTCCACCACCTCTGGTCTTAAAAACATCACCCTAAATCCAAGAGAAAAGGTCACTGTTACACTTTGATACATCCAACCGACAGGCAGGCATATCTGAAACTCTCACCCATAAGCCCAAAAGACCCTTGGGCTACTGAATCTATTGATCAAATGCTTCAGAAACCTCAGTCCACCTCTCACTAACAGGAGTCTAGCACAAGATAACCAGTAACATTCCTAGCTACAGGGAAAATATTTTATTGCATCTATAAATTTAAAAGCTAAATTAACCCAGCAGAGGCAGCTCTACATTTAAGGTGCTGCTGTCCTTCTGGTGGCAGCAGTCTGAATTAGAACTGTCCTCTCAACTTGAAACGACTCCCCGCCCCTGTCATTGTCTCCTCCCCGCCCCAACTTTTCCCACTGGTACATGACCAGAAAGTCTCATTCTTTCCAAGACAGACTGGGTAGCTCAGTACTGAGTAATGTTCCCAGATTTTGTGCGTTATTTACTTTGAGACTGTTAACTGAGATCCTCCTGCAAGTGCCACCATGCCTGACCACAGGACACATTTTTGTTTGTTTTTTGGGGTTTTTTTTTTTGGAGGGGGGCATTTCATCTGTGTCACCCTGACTGTCCTGGAACTCACTCTGTAGACCAAGCTGGCCTTGAACCACCTGCCTCTGCCTCCTGAGTGCTGGAATTAAAGGTGAGTGCTACCACCGCCTGGCATAGGACAAGTTTTAACACAAACATTTTATCTTGAAATAATAGCAAAGCAGAAGATGGTTGTTATGCTTGCTTTCTGTTGCTGTCTGGGTTTTCAAGACAACTATGTGCTCCAGGATGGGCTCAAACTGGTGACCCACCTGCCTTGGCCTCCCAAGTTCAATCAAGTTGTCCATATGGCTCTGGGTTTACTTTTGAAGCTAAGTTTTAGCTAAATATGTAGTGACTAAAGTTCATCATGGATCTGGAGTACTAACAACCCCAAGACTCTAGACCTATTTAAGCAGATCCAGACCCAGCAGATTCACAATCTAAGTAATACATTAATTTTCTGCTAAAACAAAAGTTCCACCCAACACCCCATGTATGTTCTAGATCTCATCAAGGGATAGCAGGGCAAAGACTTTTCACTGGTATTCTTTTGTGAAGACTTGTTTTTACCTTAATTACTTTAGTCTGAATCTCCCCATCGGAGGCTAGTTCCTGGTGGGTCAGCATGTACTTCTCACACTTAGCTAGTGCCTTTTCATTTGCAACAGACACTGTGATGGCGTGAGGGACATGTGGCTGCATGACTGTCTCAGTTTGCACATTAGAGGCAGGCTTATGATCTACCCATCTGCTCCCTGCAGAGCGGGACCTTCTGTGTCGTACAGGAATTGGTGTGTTCTGATCAGGTTGGAAGAGGAATTGAGAAACAAGCACAACCCAGGATTACTTTGAGGTACTGTTAGAAGTGCAGCAGTTTACAATGCAAATTCACAACAACAGAATCATCCTGCCCAAGCTAAACGTGTAAGTCATCTCATGTTCTCTTAGCCAAACAGAACCAACAGACATCTTTAGACAACAGTATCTAGAGAGAATGGTCATATGGGAGCTTCCATTTCAACAAAAGGCAAAAGATAAATTTGTGGTGACTCTAGATCTTCGTGTTTATGGCTAGTTGAGGAAAAAATAATACATTTTGCATTCTTGATCAAAAACTAATTCTTATACCTGCTTTGTGAAGTAATACATAGATTAGCAGGTTGGTTAAAGGTATCAGCAGGATCAATACAACACTAAAGTATGTCTGAGGCATCTAAATAGAAAACACTCCTCCATATACAGCCAGACCAAAAGACTACAAGCTGTTGAAGCTCTGGCTTAGCAAAACCCTGAAGAACACAGGAACTTCATGTGCAGCATGCCTGAACAGTGTTAAGTACTTCTGAGCACTTGCAGTAAGGATTTTTATATCTCAAAACACAATTCCACAAAGCTTCAAATATACCAACATTTTTTTTCCTCCAAATGTCTCTTAAAAGCTCCAAGAGGCAAAGACTGTAGTATGAAATCAGCTTGTATCATATAATAAAATCTAGTTGTTTTCCAGTCAGATGCCATGGGTGCCAAATTAAACAGCACATTCAACTCAAGAAAACGTATTTCATATACATGATATAGTAGCACATAAACAACTGTGAGCGTCTCCTGTTTATGAAACTGAAAATAAATGAGAGTCTACAGGCAGAGCCCTTCCTACCTAGCCAAATGAGGATTCTGGTTCAGTTGTTCAGTTACAGGAAACCAGCTCAGGGCAGCTCTAACGACAGTTCTACCAACAGTCACCACAACTTGCCACTGAAGACACTGAGCGTCCAGGCAGGCAGAGACCCTTCCATTCTGAAAATGGTCTGACTGATGTTGAATTCAAGAAAGCCTAGCTCTTAGGATCTAGCACTTGGCAGAAGAGCTTCCTTGAACACATTTACAGCATAATACATTCAGATCTAACTCTGAAAAGGAGACAGACTGCAGAGAATCGATTAGCAGTCATGACGACTTTGAAATTCTTTCCTCACCAAAATGTAAACTTGGTCCACCTGATAATTTCTGACCAATGAGTATGGACACAGAGATAACTAACCGCATGGGAACTTTTCTGCTGCACTTCTAAAGAGATTTGGATTTCAAGAAAGTTAAAGTCTGTGTCTTAGTACATCCCCCTGACCGTCACAGTCAAGTCAGGCATTCCCTTACTGCTGGCAGGTGTAAACAGACCTCCCAGCAGGTTGGAGTCTGACACAGAAGAGGAGGATTTACTAGAGGTGATCACAAAGACCATTCACCATGATCTGCTCCCTAAAAGTAAAATTTGCAAAGCAAGAACTTGAGACTATAGAATTGTCTGTTGCCTTATAAGAACCCAAGACTGGTCACCATCATTAGTAATCAGATTGCAGGGCATTTATCTACAGTCTAAATCATGTAAGAGGATCTTTTTGGTTTTTGAGACAGGGTTTCTCTGTGTAACAGCCCTGGCTGTCCTGGAACTCACTCTGTGGACCAGGCTGGCCTCAAACTCACAGAGATCCGCCTGCCTCTGACTCCCTACTGAGATTAAAGGCGTCCACCACCGGGCATGTAAGAGGATCTTAAAGTATTTACTGCAAGATCATTTTACTTAAAAGAACAATTTTAAAAGAGCAGTTAAGATTTTATTGAATATCTAATTCACAGTATTGGTGTGATTATTTATTCAACTTCAAAGGAAATTTTAATCTTAATATTGAAGAAAACATGAATTAGGTTTAGTTAATCACCCTTGAAGGCCTTGTAAGGCCTCAAGATTAAAATTTTAGGATGTGAAGGCTGTCAGTAGCTTCAAACAGTTCAGGTCACAGAAATCAAACAGGAGGAAGCATATTTTATATTAAAGCGATGAAAGATTTGTGATGGCCACATGCAGTGCATGCATCTGGACAGCAGCATGGGTTGAAAGGAAAGGCTATTACTGGGACAGGCAGGATAGTGAGAGACTCTCCACATAGGATATGCTGTCTTCCTTCAAAGGGGTAAAGACGGTGTTTACAAAAGATGGTGGTTACACAGGAAATGCTCTTTTGTTGAGTGTCATGGCATCTGTGACTTACTTTGGAGTGCCTCAGAAGATAAAAGATTGCATAAAATAACAATGACTCTGACAGAGGCAGGAGAGTCTCTAACCCATTAAACTTTCAAAATGAAAAACTTATTATCCCCCCCAAAAAAAACAGCAAGAAAAAAATTAAATTTGGGGAAGGGGAACCAAAAGAGAAAAAGTGTAGGCTTCTACATTCATGTTTGTGTTGGGGGGATTATGGCTCAGTGATAGAGCTCAGTGTCTTATAATGTCGAAACCCTAGGCTCTGTCCCCAGCAACAAGGGGGGAAAAGGAGCAGGAGGAGAAAGGAAAAAACAAGGGGGGGATCAAGGAAGCAAGACACTCATGCTCCTAGATTCTGTGCAACGCCCCTTGTTCAGGCGAGCAGCCTACTCTCGGGGCACCATGCTGGCTGGCATTCCGAGCTCACGGGCACATGATTCTGCTTTCTCACATCAAGAGCTCAGCCTCAATTTCAGGGTAGCTCAGTCTTTAACAGAAAAATCAGAGCTTCTTCATTTTGGAGTCTACCCAGCTTTCCCTCGAACTTTTGGAACCAAGTTACAAAGAGCAAAGGAGCTAATTCTACCACTACAATGCTTTAAAGAATGCTGGCACGAACCCTGCGGCAACGGTCGTCTTCTAGGCCTATCTCACTGCTGAATGTAGGGACCATCTCCCTGCCTTCCGTCCAGTACATGCCCCGCCTTCTGTCTGACACGATACACGTTTTACTTTGTCCTGGCTCCTGCTGCCTATGCCTTGCAAGAGAGGTGACATGGACAGGTGTGCTGAACGGAGACAGTTTCTGCTCCCACTCCGAAATACAGGAAGCTACAGAAATGCTGCTGCAAGAGTTAGAGCGCCTGTGTAGCTGTGGCTGGCTCATGAGTTGCTGGCCGTTGGAAATCTGAGCAATATTGTTACTAGAAAGCTAGAAAAATTGGAGAAAAATTAATGAATAAGACTGAAAAACTGAGAGAAACAATATTACTTTTCTACATTTCTACTACATGAAGATTTAACATTGCAAGAAACTATTTGCAGTCATTAAAATTTTTGTCATATGCTTTTATTGTTTTTGAGACAGGGACTCACTATGTAGCCCTGGTTGGTCTGGAACTCTGTGTAGACCAGGCTGGCCTCAAACTCACAGAGATCTACCGGTCTAAACCTCCCTCCCAAATGCTGGGATTAAAGGGCATGCGCCGCTATGCTCTGCCCCTTTGTGCTAAATTTTAAAAATAGAAGCTTAAAAAAAATACGGCATGAAACAAAACAACTCTCACAGAGAAACACTCCTCTAAATGGACAAACTTTTCTCTGGCACTAAGCTACACACAGCTGCAAACACTTACAGGCACAGGCGAAGGAGAGACGGATCTCTGAATGATTTTCTCCCGGTCCCGCTCCCGGGAGGGTCTCTCTGGCTTCTCAGGTTTAGGTTCAGTCACAATGGCCTTCAGCTGTTTGAGCTTTTCATCTTTGACCCAGAGTTTATTCTGCATCTCCAGCTGGGTGGCTGCTACCCGACGATCCTACAGGCATCAACAGCAAGTTACAGTCTACTTTATCTCTCTGCATAAGCACACCGCACCACCCACTTTATTCCTGGAAAATGACAGTTCTCTACTTCTTCCAGAGATTAACAGACACCACCAAAGCTCTGCCACAAGCACAGAAATGCAAAATATTTAACCTAGAGGAACACTCACACACTCCTTCTGCCATTTCATCGTCGTTTCTGTCACCATGCCTTGCAACCTGGCTTCTAATCTGCGCTTGTCAGAAAGCTGCCGCTGAAGCTTCTGATTCTGGCTCTCAAGCTCCTGCTGCAGATTGCGCTTATCTTCTTCATAGATCGTGGTTGTTTTCTCCAAAATCTCAATCTGCAAAGGAGACCACCCTGCTTAGCATCTGCTGTGCAAACATCCCACCTAACTGTACAATAGTCCTTCAATTGCTCACACACACACACACACACACACACACACACACACACACACACACACACACACAGAGGGAGAGAGGGAGGGAGGAGAGAGAGAGAGAGAGAGAGAGAGAGAGAGAGAGAGAGAGAGAGAGAGAGAGATATCCAGAAATAAGTTACACAACAAGCCCCTCACAAGCCGGGTGCCTGCATCTCCTCAAGCTAAGCTCCACTCCTAAGATGAAAAGACTAGAGTCTCTTCCCCCCTCATCCCGCACAGCAGTGACAGGCACGTTAACTGTTGTGAGAGAAGTGCGGAATGGCCAGTACACAGGTGAAAATGTGACCATGAACCTTATACTCCAGAGTTTTGTTTTTCTTCTCCAGTCGTTCTATTTCTGATTTCTGTCCTGAAATCAATTTTTCTTTTTCATTTAGTTTTTCCTGAGTGTAGTTTTCTTTATTTGAAAGAGAATTGTCAAATTCTTTTAATAAGGCTTTGAAAGTCATACCTGAAACAAAGCAGACGGATTATGCTGTTTAATACAGATACAAAATAAAACCAGCTTTCATTGGCAGACACTCAGCAGAATGCAGCACTCCAGCAAAACCCCCTATGGCAACTGTACATAAGAAAGGCTGGGAATGCAGCTGCTTGTACGTGTCTACTCTGAACATTCATGAGGCCCTGGGTTCAATACCAAAAAATGAAAACGATTAAAACAAGTTTGGAAAGAAATCAGGAGTTTGATTCTCAAATCTATAAGAGATGTTCACAGAAGTAGTTAGTAACCTTTCCCTAACACTTAAAGTTTGCTTACAAATGCAAAAACAGAAATAATCCTGTATTTGAGATCAGCTGGGCCTGGGCTGAAGACCCTGGCACACTACTTGGTCACTCACGGAAACAGTCACTTCCATGGACCAGACTTGTTCAACTGTTCTACACATTTTCAAACATTATTTCACTTTTCCCTACACCGTCTAGAAGTACAAACAATTAAAAAGTATAAATAACTTGCAAACGGGAAAACTACAAAATACCATCTTGTGTCCATCACTATTAAAAATAAACATAGATGGGGAGACACCCACTTTTTTCTTCCTATATTCTTTAAAAATAAAAGTAAAATAGAGCTGTTGAGGAAAACAAAACCTTTCCATTCAAATTAAACACCTTGAGACCACTACAAAGCCCAGAAACAAGTCTTCCTTAAAGAGGAGGCTCACTAGATGGAGTCACTAAGACCTGTTTCTACCTCTGAAGTCACAGCAGCTGTAAGCAGCTCTGCCCTTACATTGTTTGTTAAGCTCCTCAGTCATTAGTTGGCGTAGGTGATGCCGTTTCTCCAACGTTTCAATCAGCTTTGGAAGGGTCTCCTCATCGTTGATATCCAGAAGTCTCCATGGAGGCAGTGGTGGGAAGCTCTGTAGAGTCATCTCAGTCACCAAAGGTTCTGTGTGGAGTTTAACAATTATGAAAGAGCTTCAGCAAGTCTGATACTGTGAGCAGAACCCCTGAACCAGTAACAACAGAATTTTAATTTTTTTTTTTTTTTTTTTTTTGCCTCAGCTTACTCAGTGCTAGAGTTACAGGTATGCTTCACTACGCCCTACTTTAGTCATGGAATTTCTCAAAAATTAGACAAAACATACAACCAAGCAAACCTTATATTTTAGTTTGAAATTTCTTTCATTTGGTTGTTAAGAAGGGTATAAATAGATTTTTTTAAAGTTGACAGAAAGACAAGCAAATGAATAATAATATAACAGGAAATCATACCATCTCCAACTGGGCCGCCCCGAGGCAGGTTTCTGTATCGTCTCCCTGGTGTCAAGCCACATATCACCTTGTCTACTGGTCTCGCTACTTCAACTTCTTGGGTTACTTCAGCAAATCTCATGACTTGCTAAAATACAAAGCAGAGTCTATAAAAGCATCCCCAAGTCCTCCTTCACAGATGGCTAAAGAATTCGTTTGCATATCCAGTGAGCCTATATCAATCTACAAAATGTGCAGTTTGCCATTCTTTTTTTTTTTTTTTCTTCTCCCAAGACAGGGTTTCTCTCTGTAGCTTTGGAGCCTGTCCTGGAACTAGCTCTGTAGACCAGGCTGGCCTTGAACTCACAGAGAGATCTGCCTGTCTCTGTCTCCAAGTGCTGGGATTAAAGGTATGCCATTCTTCAAGTAGCTGTTTTCCCTAGAGAAACCCAACTGTACAGGACAAATATGCTTAAATTACCAAGCTTTCTTCATAGTCTTCAGCCTTTGGATTCACACACACGATCATCCGCACCTTCCCTTCCCCATCGAAGTAGTTCTTGAACAGATGAGTTAGCTTTGAATCTCGATATGGAACCATCTATAAAGACATTCAAAAGCTAAGCACATTAGACAATTAAAATGCATGATTAAAACCACAAAGTGGTTGATGAAGGCTGTTGTGTACCTTGTTAGTTCCATATGTCTGGTTCTCTCTCAGGACTTCCATGCATGTTCTTAGCGTCATTAGTGACTGATTAATGTTACCTGAGAGGAAGTCAGATACAGAGAACATTTGAAAACAGCAAATGTAATTCATCCATATAACTATAAAACTTCAACTTCAGGCTGGAGAGATGGCTCAGAGGTTAAGAGCACTGGCTGTTCTTCCAAAGGTCCCGAGTTCAATTCCCAGCAAACACATGGTGGCTCACAACCAGCTGTAATGAGATCTGGTGCCCTCTTCTGGCCTGCAGGGATGCATGCAGGCAGAATACTGTATACATAATAAATATATAAAACTTTAAAAAAACTTCAACTCTTGAGAAATAGATTTTCATGGCTCAAGTTCAAGAGCTGTCCATGTATGGTCCCACTATGCTTTCAACAGTATTAACTAATTAATTAATTAATTAATTGTTGTAGAATATTATTTTAAGGTGTGTTACTTTTGTTTATGTTGCATTTGTTTAACTCTGTGAAGCTGTGTTACTGTGTCTGTCTAAAACATCTGATGGTCTAATAAAGAACTGAATGGCCAATAGCAAACAGGAGAAAGGATGAGTGGGGCTGGCAGGCAGAAAGAATTAATAAAAGGAGAAATCTGGGAGAGGAGAGATTCAGGAGCAAGAAAAGGAGGACATCAGGGGTCAGCTAGACAGCCAGCCACAGAGTAAGAGTAAGATTTACAGAAGTAAGAGAATGGGAAAAGCCCAGAGGCATAAGGGTGACAGGATAATTTTAAGTTAAGAAAAGCTGGCTAGAAACAAGCCAAGTTAAAGCCTGGCATTTATAAGTAAGAATAAGCCTCCGTGTATGTAATTTATTTGGGAGCTATGTGGCGGGACCCCCAAAGAGAAAACACTTAACAGCTTCAATAACCATCTTTCAGGGACCCCATTAAAAAGATCCCCCAAATACAATATTACTCTTCTAAAAAAAAAAAAAAGAGAGAATCTCTCTCTTTTTTTTTTTTTTTTTTTAAGATTTATTTATTCAGTGTTCTGCCTGCATGTATGCCTGCAGGCCAGAAGAGGGCACCAGATCTCACTACAGACGGTTGTGAGCCAAGATGTGAGTGCTGGGAATTGAACTCAGGACCTCAGGAAGAGCAGCCTGTGCTCTTAACTGCTGAGCCATCTCTCCAGCCCCGAGAATCTCTTTTTTTTTTTTTTTTTTTTTTTTTGGTTTTTCGAGACAGGGTTTCTCTGTGTAGCTTTGCGCCTTTCCTGGATCTCGCGCTGTAGAGACCAGGCTGGCCTCGAACTCACAGAGATCCGCCTGGCTCTGCCTCCCGAGTGCTGGGATTAAAGGCGTGCGCCACCACCGCCCGGCTCCGAGAATCTCTTTTTAAGCTTTGTTTATTTTTATTCTTTGAGTGTTTTGCCTGCATATATGTAAATATACTTCATGTGTTTGGTGCTCACAAAGGCAGGAAGAGCATATAGGATCCCCTGGAACTGGAGTTACAGACAGTTGTAAGCTGTAATGTGGATTTTTTGTTTTGTTTTGTTTGTTTGTTTGTTTTGTTTTGTTTTTCCAGACAGGGTTTCTCTGTGTAGCTTTGTGCCTTTCCTGGATCTCGGCTCTGTAGACCATGCTGGCCTAGAACTGACAAAGATCCGCCTCTGCCTCTGCCTCCCGAGTGCTGGGATTAAAGGCGTGCACCACCACCGCCCAGCTGTAATGTGGATATTAAAAAATGTGAACTCAAGTCATCTGGAAGAGGAACAAGTACTCTTTAGTTTTTTGGTTTTTCAAGACAAGGTTTCTCTGTATAACAGCCCTGGCTGTCCTAGAACTTGCTTTATAGACCAGGTTGATCTTAAACTCACAGAAACCCGCCTGCTTCTGCCTCCCAGGTGCTGCGATTAGAGGTGTGCACCACCACACCTGATGCACCAAGAAGGCTTAACTGCTGAGCCATCTCTCTAGCCTGGAAATACATGACAATTTTCTGGTGGTTTGAATGAGAATGGCCCCATAGGCTCATGTTTGACTGCTTGGTCTCCAATTGGTAGAACTATTTGGGAAGGAACAGGAGGTGTGGCCATTCCCAGTGGCATGCACTCTCTCTCCGCCTCATGGTTGTGAATCAGCTGGTCCACAGCTACTCTACAATAAGCACTCAGCCATTGCTCCAGCACCATGCCTCCTGTTGCCTTTCCCCCTGCTGTGATGGTCATGGACCAACCCCCTGAAACTGTAATCAAGCCCCCAGCTAAGTACTTCTTTTGATAAGTTGCCTGGGTGTTAGTGTCTCTTCACAGCAATAGAACAGTGAACAGTTTTTTCCAAACCCTAAATCCTGGCATAGACAAACTCATTAATTTGGCTTGCTTCCTTTCTTTTTTTAGGGGAGGTGATGCTGGATACTGAACTTAGGAACCTCATACACAGGAGGCCAGTCATATCCCAAGTGACCATTTCAGTCTATAGTGGGGAAAGGACAGAAGTCCCTCCTATGTTAGAAACATGTTAGGGACATGTTTCTAACAGTCAAGAGTCTTAGAAGCCAGCAAACTATGTCCCTCTACATCTCAATAGGATTTCTTAGTCATCATGCTTTCTTTTTCTGACTTATCTTATTTGGATTTCTGAGCCAAGACATAGCTAATATATTAACCTTAACACCTCTAAAAATTCAGATCTCGATTAGACTCCCAAGTGTTTAAAACTGTTCATCTTGGAACACTAAGACCTCCTAACTCCATCAAGGCTATCAGACACATCATTTAGCTAGATATAATGATACATGCCTGAAATACCAACACTCAGAAGGCTGAGGCAGGATAACCACAAGTGCCTGGAAAGTTACCTTCTGACTTTTATGCACACTCTAAGGTGTATACACACGCAAATAAAATGTTAATATTTTTTTTAAAAAAATAGCAGATTTAAAGGCTAAGTGTAATAGTCAGTATTATTTCACTGATTAAGCAGAAACCACCCATTAATAAATACAAACTGTCATTACAAGCTGTTGAGAGTTATAACCATAAATAAGTACAGCACTGCATCCAGGCAGTGGTGGCGCACGCCTTTAATCCCAGCACTCGGGAGGCAGAGGCAGGCGGATCTCTGTGAGTTCGAGGCCAGCCTGGTCTACAGAGTGAGATTCAGGACAGGCACCAAAACTACACAGAGAAACCCTGTCTCGAAAAAAACCAAAAAACAAACAAAAGTACAGCACTGCACTCACCAGCTTCACGTAACCTGTTCCCTTCTGCTTTAGTCCGGTTGGTTCTTTCACTTCCAGCAAGATCTACCAGAGACAACTGGCTTAAGGTAATTTGTTCTTTTTCCTGCAAGGGATAAAGCCAACAATCTAAGCTAAGTTATAATGTACTACAATATTAAGATCCAGTTAACATGGTATTAAGTCTTGTTGGACACTGTATGTATGCAATACAAATGCCCAGAATGGCAGAGGAAGATGATACATGAGAGTTTGTTTAAAAGCTCATAACACTGAATACTTGTCTGCTGCCTCAGAGCAGACATTAGATTCCTTGAGAACAGGGAGTCTGTTCCATTTTGCTATCACCAGGTATTTAGTATTCCAGGAGTTCGAGTATTGAGCTCCTCTTCAAAAACACACACACACACACACACACACACACACATATGCACACACAAAAAAGAAAGCCTATTTAAAATAACATTAATAATTTAAGAGTCCTCTAACTTATACAAAGAAATGAAAGTCAGGGTGGACAGATGCTCAATGGTTAAGAGCACTGGCTGCTCTTGCAGAGAGAGGCGCCAACTACACCCACGTGGCAGCCTGTAACTCCAGGGGATCTGATGTCTTCATCTGGCCTCCACAAACACCAGGCTCCCATACTGTGGTGCACAGACACACATGCAGGCAAAACACTCATACACATCATATACAAATAAAGCTTTAAGAAAAGAAATGAAAGTCAAGAAGCACCTAAATGGCATTATGCTATTAGCAGTAATTCACATCCCTAGCACCAGAACAGTAATTTACAGGAAATTAGGGGAAGAATTGTCTGTGGCCATTTTCTAACTAACATTTATTGAGTACTGACTATAATCCAAGCAGTGGCCAAGAAACTTCACCCGGCTTCTCTTAATTCTCACAACCTTATGAGAAGGCTCTCTTATAGTCAGGTGAGACAAAGGAGAATAGGTAGGAATCAGAATTCAAATACTAGTGAACCTCAGCACTTTCCTGCCAGTCTGGACATGGCCACATTAAACGGTTAAAGTCACAATCAGTGAAACAAGACTTTAGTCTTAGCAGGGGAGGCTGAGGCAGAAAATTTCTGAGCTCCAGGCTACACAGTTAGAGTCTATAGCAAAAAACAAAAACAAAGCCAGATATGGTATAGCATGTGCCTTTAATGCTGGCTGTTGGGAGACTGAGGCAGGTGGACCCCTATCGGTCTGGGGCCAGCCTTGCCTAGATAGTGAGACAAGAAACAAACAAAAGAGGCCATGGATTTGAAAACTAGCAAGGGGAAGTCTTAGAGGAGGGTTTGGGGAGAAGAAAGGGAAGGGAGAAATGATGTAGTTACACTATGATCTCAGAAATAAAGGAGAAAACAAACCAACAAACGTTCAGGGTCATCCTGGGCTCATTACATGAGACCCTGTCTCACAAGGCAAAACAACACCTAAAACAATGCAACACATTCTTACAGATGTTTAAAACTCTGCAGACCCTTTTCACAACACAGCAAACTGCGTGTGCCACACATGCTATGCACTAGGATCACTCAATAGGCAGAGCCCAGAAACAGCACTATCGACATTAAAAAAATAAAAATAAAAAAAAAATAAGTCATTGGCTATACAGCTATTAACTCTAGAGTAATCTGCATCACCATGGTAGCCCCTAATTTAGGTCATCTTCCAAAACCTTGGGGCTGAATTAGAAAAGACAAGATTCACAGTCAAACATTACCTGTAAGACATTGTCTCCATCGGCATCCAGGGGAGCCTGGACGAGTTTAATGCTGAACACGCTATGTGAACGGCTAGATTCTCTGTTCAAATGGGTGTTAGCAATACGTCTCTTTTTCTGACCTATGACGACAGAGAAGTCATTGATTACACCTGAACTCAGCCATTATTATACCTGCTTTCCAATTAATCCCAAAGGACTACTATTAAATTACAGCAACTACTCTGAAGGTTAAAACCATCAGTTGACGTTCTTCAAATCCTAGTTATTTCTAACCTCTCCAAAAAACTTCAAAAGCCTCTTCTGTAGATTTCACTTCTACTTCTGTACATCCTGCAACATACATATTGTGGTTCTTATCTTCTCGGAGTATTTTGGATTGCGGGAGTCTATGGGAAAGAAAGAAATGGTTAGTTTCCTAAAGGAGATACAACTGTCCTCCTTGAAGACTGAGGTTCAAGTGTCCAGCAACACAACATCCCCCTTCACCTCAACACCGCTGACAGAACTCAAGCTCATGCATGCTAGCCAAGAGCCCCACCACTGAGCACATGCCCAGCTTTTGTCCAGTTTATCCCATGGTTCTAAAAGCTGGAGAGTCCCTGAGTGAAGTGCTGGCACCCGATGAGGGCCTCCTTGCAGTGTTATGATAAAGGCACCACATAGTGAGACCCAACAAGCATGCTCCCATGACATCCTTTCTTTAATGGACATGAAGTTACATAAGATCCCCAAAGAAATGGTAGACTTAAAAACCAAGACATGATTATACAGTCAAGATTAGTTATAAAGCAGGAACCAATTTAGGTTTTAAAGTTTGCTCTAAGCCACCCTAAAAAGCACACAAAACAACAGACAATTAGACTGCAACAGTACTATAGCACCATCGTATGCAGCACAGGCTACTCAACACAATCTAGCGCTTTCCTCATTTAAAAGACCAGCATATTCAACTGGCCCTGACCTTCAAAGCAATGCAGAAGAAGAACTCAGAAAGGATTTAGTATATGCCCAGAGTGACCACCCCTGCAAAGTGGCTTGGTAAGTTTTAGTTTGCAGTCAGTTAAGATTAGGTAAGGGTGCTTGCATGTTCTGTTTTAGTTAATTTTTTTTTAAAAAAAATGCTTTTATTTTACATGTATGGGTGTTTTGCTTATATGTAAATCTGTGCACCACATGTGTGGCTAGCACTCACAGAAACTAGAAGAGGGCATTGGATCTCCTGGAACTGAAGTTACAGATAATTGTGAGCCACCACGTAGGTGCTGAGAACCAAACACGGGTCCTCTGGAAGAGCAGCCAGTGCTCTTAACCACTGAGCCATCTCTCCAGCCCCATGTTTTAATTAATTTTATTTATCTGGAATTGCATGTGTGGAGGTCAGAGGACGACTTACAAGTCAGTTCTTCCCTTCTACCTGTGGGTTCCAGGGATGGGACTCGGGTTGTCAGGCTTGGCGGCAAGCCTTTACCTGCTGAGCCGTCTCATCAGCCCCTCTCTGTTTTGTGACTGGTGAGGATGGGGACATTTACCAGTCAGCATCACTGATAATGAAGGGGAGACTTTCTAAAAGAAAGGAGGGTTTAGAGGTAGCAGCCTGCCCACTGCCAAAGAAAAGCAAACTACTTACAAACATGCTAAATATGCCCCCCACTAGTGTTAACTACACCCTTCTCCGTAAGAAGAGTCAATATCATCACATACACAGACTCTGGGTTCCTCATAGGTGTACTGCAGCCGTTCCACCTACCAAAGGAATAAGGCAGACATTACTGTTCTAGAGTAGCCATCCTGCAGCAACGTTTCCGTCTAGACCAGTGACAGTGATGATGGAGATTTCAAAACCCTCTACTTGCCAGACTCTTTCACTGCATCAAAAACTAATAAAAATTAATCCCTCAGAAAAGGAGAGCTAACACCATCCTCACATTAAATCCACAATCAGTGCTAAATAGGCTCCCTTCTAAGTGCACTCGAAAGATACCCCAGGAAGGCACTCTGGCTGTTTCCTTTGCATGACTAAATAAAACCAGACAGTATCAGTTGAAACAATATCACTTAGAAAAGCCAAACAAATTGCAAACAAAAGAGACATAAAAATAATTAGTAGTGTTGGGCATGGTGAAGCATGCTCTTAATCCCAGCACTTGGGAGGCAGAGCCTGGTGGATTTCTGTGAGTTCAAGGATAGCCTGGTCTACATGGTGAGACTAACTTTAAAAAAAAAAAAAGGAAATTGCTAGGCGGTGGTGGAGCACACTTTTAATCCCAGCACTTGGGAGACAGAGCTGGGTGGATCTCTGTGAGTTCTAGGACAGCCAGGGCTACACAGAGAAACCCTGTGTTGGAAAAAAAAAAAAAAAAAAAGCTGGGCGGTGGTAGAGTACGCCTTTAATCCCAGCAGAGACAGGTGGATCTCTGTGAGTTCAAGGCCAGCCTGGTCTACAGAGTACCAAGATAGGCTCCTAAGCTACAGAGAAACCCTGTCTCAAAAACCAAACAAACAAACAAACAAACAAAAATCAAAAGGGGGTGCAGTTAATTGGTAGCAATGACTGACTTCACAAAAGTTTAGATAAAACTAGTACACACAAAACTGGAATTGCAACAAAGGACAGTTTAAAACACACATGAAAATATGTGCTCGAGTGGGAAAGTAATTTAATATAAAAGGCATTGCCAAGACCACACTCTTCTTCCTCTCTATAACTTAACCCAGGTACTTCTCTTTTCGTTCCAACATTCCCAAGCCAGACAGGTAACCCCAAAAGGAAGCCCCTTTCTACAGTTTGCGTTTGAGGCTGGGCGTGGCGGGGCACACTGCTAACCCAGCGCTGAGACCTGACACGGGAGGATCGCATGGAACTGGAGGCCAGCAGTGCAGTGCAGTAACACTGCCTCCAAACCAAAGCAGCTCTCCTCTGAAGAACAGCTGAGTGAAGCAAGACCCAAGACCTTCAGATTTAATTCACCTAGCAACTTTATAGTTATTTTACAAAATCATGTTTCAAGCAGAATTCCTGTTGGAAATGCCATTAAGCAAGTCATAGAAATTAAGTTAGGGTTCAACCAGTCATGCACTTTTCATATTAGTGAACATACTGACATAAGAGGACATCAGTCTGTTCTCAGTTTAATGTTTTCCACAGTAATGTCCCTTTACACATATACACAAATGTTATATGTAAGACAAAGGTCTTCATATTATTTATGTTTTAATTGGCTGCAATGAAACACAGTATGTAAGACCAGCCTTTAGCTAAAGAACAAAACCACCCACTCAAGAACACTGTACCATTCATCAGACACAAGATCTGTGAATCAACCCTGGCACAAAGAGAGGTACTTCTGTAAAGCTACATGGTAACTGGTCTTCAGATTCTCTAAGTCAAGACCCACAGATATCTAAGGAGTAGCACTTACCTCTCACAGAATGACAATGCAATGTGGCTTTACACTAATCCGCAATGGATGAGCTAAGAATTACTTGCACAGACAAGGACCAACTCTATAGAGATCACCAAGACACAGACAGGTAAAGAGGCTGCAAAACCCCCAGCACTATCAGGGTGTTAAAAGATGCCCCCAACACTGTCTATAAAATTGATATTTGTCCTCGAACTCACAGAGATCTGCCTGCCTCTGCCTCCCCCTGGTCTACAAAGCGAGTTCCAGGAAAGGCACAAAGCTACAAAGAGAAACCCTGTCTCAAAAAACCAAAAAAAAAAAAAAAAAAAAAAAAAAAAAAAAAAAAAAATTAAAATTGATATTTGTCTCAAACCTATGGCTAAGTTTTCAAAAGCAATCTCCAAGATGGAACTTCAGGTCACTATACCTTAACCTGTTGGTTTCCTAATACAGCTACAATCTAGTTAGGAATAAAAGTATTCAGGCTGGAGAGATGGCTCAGTGGTTAAGAGCACTGGCTGCTCTTCCAGAGGTCCTGAGCTCAATTCCCAGCAACCATATTGGTGGCTCACAATCATCTGTAATGAGATCTTGTGCCCTCTTCTGGCCTGCAGGCAAACATGCAGGCAGAATACTGTATATATAATAAATAAACGTATTCATTGAGCATAACTACATGATTTCTGTGCATTCTGAAAACAAATGTAGGCATTATCCCCATTTATACCTGCAGAAACCAGGGATTGTTGGGGGTAGTTTTCCAGTGTTACCTGAAGAGACTCTCTTCAATACTTACTTGGGCTTTATGGGATCAAACTGCACCTCTTCCAATAGATCATATATGTAATTATTATAGATTTCAATGTAAGAGACAAATACACCATAGACACTGTCTTCATCAACATCTTCTGCTTTGCAGAATTCTTGTACATTTATCATATCTGCAAACTCTGGATCTGCCTGTCGCCTAAAACAAGAAACAGATCCATCAAAGTCAGATTTTACCCACTGAGAGTTAATATCAAAAATAGATACCTGTGTTGGCTGCTTTTATGTCAATTTGACACAAGCTGGAGTCTTTGGGAAAAGGGGCTCTCAACTGAAAAAATATCTCCATGAGCCTTGGTCAAAAGGCAAGTCTGCCTAGCATTTTCTTGATTAATGATTGATGTGGGAAGGCCCAGCCCCACTATAGGTAGTACCAACCCTGGGCAGGTGGTCCTGGGTTGTATAAGAAAGTAGGCGCCACAGGAAATAAACTGGTAAACAGCATTCATCCTTCCATGGCTTCTGCATCAGCTCCTGCTTGAATTCTTGTCCTGACTTCCCTCAGTGATTTGGACTTGGAAGTGAAAGATGAAATAAATCCTTTCCTCCACCAAGCTGCTTTGTTTAGGGCATTTTATCACAGCAATAGAAACCTAACTGAATTGCCGGGTGTGGTGCACGTCTTTTAATCCCAGCTTGGTCTATAAAGTGAAACCCTGTCTTGAAAAACCACACACACACACACACACACACACACACACACACACACACACACACACAAACCCCAACTGAAACCATACCAGAATGGAAAAACTCTTAACAAATATTCTACCACTTATAATTGAAATCATATAGCAACTTTATTCAGATTCAAGGTGGGTCAAGGACAGCCGAGCCCTGGAGTGCACAGGCACTCACCTTCCCCAACTCACAGACAAAATACTAGAGCAGTCAAAAACATGCCTCAACCCTGACCTCACAAAAGTCAACTGTAAGACTAACTTCTCTAATTCATAGTCACCTTCCCCAAGCTCCAGAAACTGTAGGACGGAATTCCACCCACGCGGAGTCAGTGCTGCACATGAAGTTACTCACTTGCTAGAGGGGGTCTTTGGAACGGGCATGGCTTCTCTTTTCTGTCGTTCTAATAAGGCATCAACTTCACACTGTATTTCCATGCTGTTCCGATCATTAGATTTAAAAACCTACAAGAGGGGCAAAAAGGACTTCTGAAACAAATTTTACTTACGAAATAGCAACATTTAAAAACAGGAAGCAGCCGGGCGGTGGTGGCGCACGCCTTTAATCCCAGCACTCGGGAGACAGAGCCAGGCGGATCTCTGTGAGTTCGAGGCCAGCCTGGTCTCCAAAGCGAGTTCCAGGAAAGGCGCAAAGCTACACAGAGAAACCCTGTCTCGAAAAACCAAAAAAAAAAAAAATAAAATAAAATAAAAAAAAAAATAAAAATAAAAACAGGAAGCACTTAACATTTAAACTCTGTGGGGAGGGCAGAGAGTTGCTGGGCCTGCAACTCTTGATCCTCTTGCTTCTACCACTCAACTGCTGGCATCACAGGCATACCCACCATGCCCACCACATCTGGACATATGTAAGAGTCAAAGCAGCTCCAGTGCTTTTATTCTTCCTCAGTATCATGTATCCAGAGATGTCTCAGTCCTGTGTCCACAGTGACAGTCACAACCCAAAGGAGTCACTGTATCCAGAGATGTCTCAGTCATGTGTCCACAGTGATAGTCACAACCCAAAAAAGTCACTGTATCCAGATGTCTCAGTCCTGTGTCCACAGTGACAGTCACAATCCAAAGGAATTGTACTTACGTAACGTTTTGCTTGAAACGACCCTATGCTGTTAAAGATCATGTTCAAACAGCGAGGAAGCAGGCCTCCGTACCCTGGAGAACCTGTCATTGTATGAGTTTTTCCACTTCCAGTAACACCATATGTAAACAAAAGACCTACAGTATAGCAACAACAAGAAGTTATAGTCTTAAAGTCCCACAAAACATTTCATTGTATTTAAAACACTTAAATTAACAAACCCAAAAAAGGGCATCACTCTAATGAGTTAAATCTAAATTCAATGTCAAACCAAATATATAAATATTAAAAAGCTTCACCACAAGATTAAACAGAGAATTCAACTAAACTCCAAGAATCATACCATTCTTGCCATGAATGAGGTCATCTACCAATGGACTAGCCACAACATCAAAAAGTTCCTTCTGAGTGGTATGAGTGCCAAATACCCGCTTGAATGAATACTGAGTCTGTGGAGAAAATAAAAATAAATAAACACATCGAATTCTACTAGACTAGAACTGTATCTGTTCTACACTTGGAATGTTTCTGTTGTGAGCTTTCAAATCCAGACATGTAAAGAAAAAACTGGAGCCTTCAGTAGTCACAACATACATAAATCACAGTCATCATAACAAATACTTGCAGTCCAGGCACTGAGTAAAGGCAAGTCCACTAATGGTGCATAGATTAAGACTGATCAAAAGTGAACATTTGCCGGGCGGTGGTGGCACACACCTTTAATCCCAGCACTAGGGAGGCAGAGACAGGTGGATCTCTGTGAATTAGAGGCCAGCCTGGTCTACAGAGTGAGATCCAGGACAGGCACCAAAACTACACAAAGAAACCCTGTCTCAAAAAACCAAAAACAACCACCACCAAAAAAAAAAAAAAAAAAGTGACCATTTATACCTAGTGACACAGAGGCTGAGGCAGGAAGTTTCCCATTAGCTTGATGGCAGCCTGGGCTACACAGAGAATTACAGGCCAGACTGGGCCATAGTGTGAAACCCTGTTAACAAAGCAAAAACACAAGGTAGTGGCCTATAATCTTGAATTTATGTTGGGCAGTGGCGGCATGCTCCTTTAATCCCAGCACTCAGGAGGCAGAGGCAGATAGATCTCTGTGAGTTCGGGGCCAGCATGCATGGTCTACAGAGTGAATTCCAGGACAGCCAGGGCTATACAGAGAAACCTTGTATTCCCACCTACCCCCCCCAATTTAATTTATTAAAAATTTCAAGTGTTTTTTTTTTTTTTATTTTTTGGAGTACGTTTGTATGAAAGAGTCTGTTATGTATTCATGGCTGGCCTAGAACGTGCAATGTAGACCAGGCTGGCCCTCAATTTTCAATGATCTTCCTGCCTCTGTTACTGTCACTAGCATGCACCACCACCCCTGTCCACTGCCTTCTACTTTGTGTTTATAAAGGTGTATTTAAGGTAGCAAGGCCAACAAGATGGCTCAGCAGGTAAAGGCCCTTGCCACCAAGCCTGAGAACCTGGGTTCAATCCATGGAACCCACACTGTGAAAGGGGAAAGGACACTGTAAATAGGACAGCAAAATACCAAGATTACAGCATTTTAAAACCAGGGAGTGAACTACAAATGTAACTGTGTTTAAGTTCTTTTACAGAATAAATGTTACGTCGACAGTGTGTGGTATGTATGTGTGTGTATATATATACACACATATATGGATGCACACACATACAACTTTTTAAAGACAATCTCATGTAACCCAAGGTAGTCTCAAACTCGCTGTGTGACCAAGAACAAACCTGGATTTCTGATCCTGCTACCTCTACCTCCACAGTGCTGAAATTATATGCCACCGTGACAGTGGGAGACTGGTTCCAGATCCACCATGGAAACCAGATATATAAGAATCCCCAGCCCGGCGGTGCTGGCGCACGCCTTTAATCCCAGCACTCGGGAGGCAGAGCCAGGCGGATCCCTGTGAGTTTGAGGCCAGCCCGGTCTACAGAGTGAGTTCCAGGACAGGGACAAAGCTACACAGAGAAACCCTGTCTTGAAAAACCAAAAAAAAAAAAAAAAAATCCCTGAGTCCACTACTTAAATGACAAAGCATTTGCCATTTAATAAACTTTAAACCATCCTAGGTTGCCATTATACTAATACAATAGTTACTCTTCTGTGTTACATAGGAATTGACAAAGAAACATCTGTCTATATTCAGTGCAGATACCTATGTTTTCCTGAAGGCATGGGAGGGGGCAGTAACAGGAGATTAAACCTATGACCTCCCTCACATATCCTAGGCAAGTGCTCTACCAATGAGCTAAATCCACAGCCCATTTCTGAAGGTTTCAACCCCTGGTTAGTTGAACTCCTGGATGTGAGATTGTAGATACTGAGAGCAAAGACATGGATCTATATAAACATAGACACACATATAAGATTTATCTATTCTTGAGTGTATGAGTGCTTGTCTTTTTGTATGCATGTACTGTGTGTGTATGTGTGTGTTGCCCATGGAGGGCAGGAAAGGGCATCTGATTCCGTGAAGTCAGAGCTAAAGGAAGTTGAGTCACCATGTTGTAGCCGGAGCCTTTTCTGCGTCCTGCTGGGAATCAACCCAGGTCCTTTGAAAGAGCAGCAAGTGCTCTTAACGGAGGAGACATCTCTCTAGCCCCCAAAACTACTATTTCACAAATGATAAATAAGATTAAAAACCTCTCCGAGACAATACCTGCTTCAGGGACTGCAAAGATGGCTCAGCAGTTCCCAGAACCACATGGTGGCTCACAACTGTCTATAGCTCCAGTTCCAGGAGACCTGATGCCCTCTTCTGACCTCCATGAGCACCAGACCCATATGTGGCTTACATCACATACATGCATGGAAGCAAAACACTCATAGACATAAAACTTAAAAATCTTAAAAAAAAAAAAAAGATTTAAAACACATAATTCAGCTAGTCTAGTCTATCTTTTACCTTTGTGAAGTTTTCATTCTCAATGTACTTCAGAACAAAGACTGTGGAATGACAAGAACATGTAGGGTGGTGACAAGGAAAACAGATGCACTCCTCTTCCTCAAGAATGCCTCCTCCTTTGGTGTAATGAAAACAGGTACAGGGGCTGGAGAGATGGCTCAGAGGGAACGAGCACTGGCTGCTCATCCAGAGGACCTGAGTTCAATTCCCAGCTCCCACAAGGCAGTTCACAACTGTCTGTAACTCAAATTCCAGGGTATCTGACACTTTCACACTAATGCACATGAAATACACTTAAATAAATTATTTAAAGAAAGAAAGAAAGAAAATAGGTACAAGAAGGCACCCGCTCAAGCTTCTGAACAGTGGCAAAGCCAGCTCCACAGCAATGCTCTCTGAGTACTCGATCTCCACCAAACCTTGGGATTGCATGTACTTTAAATCCATTTGAAATTCAGTAAGTCAGTATTCAACTCCCATTGTATCCTCAAAGACCTGCTCTGCTCCACCAACCTCCCTGACCACTCATTCCTGCTTAATCCAAACTTAGTCTTTTGACAAACAGGACTGGAAGGCACAAATGCTCTGGTGCTTACGTGAAGAACAGGAAAGAGACAGTGAACACAAGCACAGACATGCATCTCGTGATGTTTCAGTTCAGTAAGAGACCACCAACAACGGTGGTCCTCTAAGATTACAAAGGTGATAAACTCTAGTGCCTAAAGGAAAAAAGCACACCATATTACTCCAGGAGGTGGTGACACTAGTGTAAACAAACCTGTTTGGATAGAACAGATGCACTGTGGTACAACTGCATACTGTATTCCATAAAGCAGTACTACGTGCTGCTGGAGTCTAAGAGCAATAGTCTGTACAGCCTCCGTGTCTATTATGGCAATCTATCTAGCATAAATAAGCAAGTATACTTGGTCATGTTCACAAAATGGTGAAACTGCCCAGTGACCTCAGAACATACCTTCATCTTTAAACAATGCATACCTATCAATAAATCAATGCAGTAAAGTGTTATAAAGGAGGCACACTGAATGAAGACCAGAGAGTGAACCGCTGTTTCTGCTGGAGTAGTCTGAACACCCTGAGGAAGTAAGATTTAAGCTGAAATTCAAGATGGGGAGGCATCCAGGTTACAAGGGAGAAGTCTAGGTTAAGCCAGTGCGGTTGCTAAGCATGATTCTGGCTTACAGAGGATTTCCAAAGACTGGATGAGTACTGAAAGATAAGGAAGGGAAGATAAGCAGGAGGCTGGTTGAACAGGATTTTCTCCATCTACAGACTTTATTCTTTAAGAGATTTTGCACAGGGAAATGATAAGAACTTTCTACTTTGCAGAGCATTCTGGGAGCTCTGTGGAAACCATTAGACAAGATCCTCTGTAAAAGCAAGCAGCCAGACAGACTCCAGGAAAGGCTCAAACCATGCTCAGCACCCCTGAGAACTGGTTGTTACCAGTTCTCCTTAACATTAAGAAAAATTCCCTAGCCAGGTGGTGGAAGTGTATGCCTTTAATCCCAGCACTTGGGAGGCAGAGGCAGGTGGATCTCTGTGAGTTCAAGGCCAGCCTGGTCTACAGAGCGAGTTCCAGGACAGGCTTGAAAGCTACACAGAGAAACCCTGTCCTGAAAAAAAAAAAAAAAAAAGAAAGAAAGAAAAGAAAGAAAGAAACATAAACATTCCCTGCCATCTTCTATTGTTCCCCCACAGCCTGCAGTCAATGGGCATATCTCAATACACAGATTAGAAAGCAGTTAGTCAGGGGACTCATGCTGTTAGTTACATTTAGCACAAACTAGAGTATCTGCTGCCCTGAATCAAGATAAAAACACTTCTCCACCACAGACAGCTTGATTAGTAACCAGCTCAGAAGAAGCTAGTGGCAGAAAGACAGACAGGAAAGGATAATCTCAGGATCCACTTTGTCAGGATTCATGACCCAACATGAGCAGATGCCAAAGGAAAGTAGCTTCCATGTTTCTGGACTGGGCAACTGGACAATAATGGTACCATCTTCTCAAAAGACTAAAAGGAAAACATTTAAAGGGCAGTGGGGACTCAAGAGCTCCTTTCAATACATAAAACTTGAGATGAGCGGTGGTGGTACATGCCTTTTAATCCCAGCACTCGGGAGGCAGAGCCAGGCAGACCTCTGAGTTTGAGGCCAGCCTGATCTACAGAGTGAGTTCCAGGATAGTCAGGGCTATACAGAGAAACCTTGCCTCAAAAACCCAAAACTTAAGATGGACAAGTGACACCCACCAAAGATAGCAAGTTGTCAGACATTTAAATTTAGAGTTAGAAAAAAAAAAGATTTTTCCCTTGCCATAAAAATTCCAGAGCATTTTAAACCATGGGAATGATAGGTAGAAAACAGAGTCCCTGGGTCAGGCATAGTGACTCATACCAGTATTCCTAGTACTCAGGAGGCTGAGGCAAGTTCTGGTCCAGTCTAAGCTAATGTGTGAGATCCTGTCTCAAAAAAATGAAGATGAAAACAGAAGATGGGAAAGAAGAAAAACACAGAGACCCAGACATAGCCTACCTTAGTATTCAGAGGCTAGACAGAAGCCAGCAGAGGGTGACTAGTGACAAACAGCCAGAGTTAGAGAGGAAGAGAGTGAGTGCTTCAGGAAGGAACATGCCGCTGAGATAATGAGGACAAACTGGCAGCAAAGAGGACATGGGTGGTCTAAAGAATGATATCTCTGCAGCAGTGTGCACAAGCCTGAGTAGCAGCCCAATGGGGTGGCTCAGGCCTGCAATCTCAGCATACAGGAAAATGAGACAGGCAGAATGTCTCGAAAAACCAAAACAAAAAAAGAAAGAAAAAGAAATCCTCTGAAGCTGGTCAATGGTGGCACAGGCCTTTACCAGCACTCAGGAGGCAGAGGCAGGCAGATCTCAGCCTGGTCTACAGAATGAGTTTCAGGATAGCCATAGCTATACAGTGAGACCCTGTTTCAAAAATACAAAAGAGAAAAAAAAAAAGAAAAGAAATCCTCTGAGCGAAACCCTCTAATTCCAACATCCCAAGTCTATCTGTATGTCCTAGAAATCAAAGATAAGGTGGCTAAAGTATCCCTTCCCACAAGTGAGATCACAGAGGACCTTTCAAATTCAAATGGCCATTCAGGAAACAGCAAATGAAAACAACTTGGTTCCACTAGGAACCTACCTCCTTATAGTCTCCATTTCTGTTGAGTCGATAACCCTCAGGAGTATGGAGCTGCACAGTTGTATTATTGACCACTTCTACACAGCATTCTTGATCAGGAAAACTCAGTGGGCGCACCCTACAGTACACCTGGAAAAAAGAGAAACGTTTTTAAACGAGGTTGACTTTTTGCCTGATTTTTCTTTTTGGTTTTTCTGTTTGTTTGTTGAGACAGGGTTCTCACTCTGTAGCCCAAGCTGGCCTAGAACTCTCAGCAATCTGCCTGCTTGGGATTGCAGGCATGAGCCACCTTGAATGTTGAGCACTCACTTGATTTTTCCATTTAAGCTTTCTGTTCATTCATCTACAAATATCTGATCTTCCACACAAACATAAACACAGAATCATGAAAAACAAAATCTGCAGCTCGGAATGGTCAAATGAAAAGATGCATTAAATCAAAATAAATTTCGGTTAAAATATTAAACTGTACAGTTTCTCTTCACTGTTGTGCTCAAATAAAATTGTACTAACATAAAAATCTCTCTAAATGCCTGAAAAGGCTATTAAATTCTTTAGAATTAGATGTCATTTCAAAGAGCCAGCTCAGGTGGGGCATGCAGCACACACCTGTAATCACAGCACTTGGAGGGTGGGGGAAGCTAATTTAAGGAAAACCTGTCCAGCTGTCCTCACAGCTGGTGGTGCAGCTGAGCACCAGAGCCCCTGGGCAATGGTATCGGAGTGCTGGTATTCAGAACACTGCAGAGCAAGCAACTCTTCTCAGGAGGAAGTATGACTTCCCTGAGTTATTCTACACCAGTCTCTATAAACCTTGAGAATGTGTCAGTTACCACATACAGAGGACAAAGTGGGAGTTTGGAACACTTAACTTTTCAAATTCTAATTGGCGATAGCAGGTTTGGGGTCAACAACTAAAGACTTCCTTTTTCTGGGCTAGTCCAGTAGAGAAAGCAAACTTCAAGGCTAAAGCCAGCTTTATACAACTTAGTGGATCAATTTAACCGGGTACTCTTTGACCCAGCTTTCCTATCACTTCTTCCCGTTTCAAGCACACACGACAGACAGGAACTAAAGGAAGAACACACACACACACACACACACACACACACACACACACACACACACACACACACACACACACACACACAATCTTACCCCAACTGGATCTTTAAGGTTTGTCTGAGATCCTTTTTTCAGTACAGGTTTCCTGGGCACCTTAGCTTTCCTGGTCAAAAACAAAAAACCAACAAACAACCCCAAAAACCAAGACATCAATTTCTGTTCAACACTAACATACAATACTTCACAAATTCTAACAATAGTAATCGAGTCGTTAAAACCATGATTGGGAAAATATACTTTTGGTACCAGAAGTTCCCAGGGGGGCTTTTGTTTGACTTCTTTTCTTTTTCAATGCTGGAGGGCAAATTCAGAGATTTGCTCATGCTGGGCAGGTGCTCTACCAGTAAGATACACCCCCAGTCTCCTAACTTTTCAGTTCTTAATTTAAAGGTTGGTACATTTTCTTGAGCAACAATTTTACAGTCACTACCAATTTGAGAAGTTAACATTATACAGGTGCACAAGCACTGTGCATAATCACCTCAATTATAAAAATGCACACAAATTCATTCTTTGACCCTGTATGCCTAAGGACTATGGATGTTCTTGGTTGGATCCCAAAAGATAGATAATAAATAAATAATCCACCTACACTGTACTTTCAAAAAACAGTTGGTCACTGAATGACCAAAACTATTATCCTTTAGCCCATGCGCCAAATATGGTCCCAAACAGAAAATTTCTTGCTATTTTAAGTAAACAACAACAACAACAAAAAAAAACCATTTGACTTATTTCAACATTCTCTATCATATGACTTTTTTTCCTTTCTCATTTATAGGCTGCAGGACTATTTAACACTAAAATTAAATGAAAGATTGGTTGGGACTGTAGATTATGAAGATTATAGTCACACATAAAGTAGTAGCAAACTAGAGTTGGGCGATATGCTGGGGGAGGTGTCCTTAAGTAAGTACAAAGACTTTGACGCTTTCTCATTGAAACAAGTTCCGTTTTTGTGAAAAAGGCTAGCCTCCCTTGCAGGGCAAGTGTAACCAGGACGCAGCCCTCCCGAAGCGTCTAGGAATTACTGAGGAATGTGGGCGTGGGAGGTAGAGTAGGCGAGGGGGACGGCCTGGGGACAAAGATAGCGCGCAGTGCCTGAGCTGCAGAAGGAACCTGACCTCAGGGCTGGGACTAGCGAGGGAAGGGATGCCCGTGGAGCCGCAGGGACTCAGCTCCCCCAAGTGCCAGCGCACACCCCCGGCTGCGCGCGCACTCCGGGTCCTTCCACCCACCACCTGCACAGCCCGCCCGGCGGAAGGAAGCTGAGGAAGAATGGGCAGCCCAAAGACTAGCAACCCGGTCACCCCGCGGAGGTGGCGGCAGACAGCCCCGAATTCGGAGCCAACCTTCGCGGGCTGAGTGGACTGTGCGGGCGTGGGCACCCCGGGGTCGGCGGGTCCCCGGAGCGCTGCGGCGCAGAGGTCCGGCCGGTACGTCCCGGCTCAGCTCCCGGACAACCCCCGGTGGCAGCGTGAGGAGAGCGGCGACCCCCGCCCCGTCACCTCTCCCCAGTCCCCTCCGTGGCCTGGTACTCACGCTGGCTTCATGACCACGGGCTCCGTGCGATCCGGAGGACACGCGCGCGGGACGTGGGGCTCCGACCGGAGCAGGGCTGGCGGGGACCGAGGGCTGCAGACAGCGGCCGCGGACACCGGGACTCAGTCTGAGGAGAGCCCGGCGGCGACGCTGCAAGCACAAGTGTGCGCCCGCCCGGCGCATTTCAAACAGGCCAATCAGCGGCCGCCTGCGGCGGAGGGGCGGGGCCTCGGGGAGCACCGGCGCGGCCAGCAGGGGCGCTCGTCTCCTTGGCAACCCGGGAGAAACAGCCCGAGGCGGAAGAGGGCAGCGCGGGAGAAAAAGCCGAGATGGGAAATCCCGGCCTTTCCGTTCAGACGCAGGCTGAGGTCTCCCTGCCTTCGTCCCCAGAACCTCAAAGGAAGTAAAGCCCTTCCCGCCCGGAGCGTTCTACTCTCAGGCTGGCTGGCTGGCTGGCTTCCAGGCCACCAACCACACCATCTTTATCATTATACAGTATTTTACATTTTATTTTTCCTTTTGTACTCCGTAATAAGTTTACATTTGACCTTACTTCTGATATTTATTTTGTTATTTTGAGACTAGGGTCTCAGGCAGTCCACGCTGGCCTCAAACTGGCAGCGTAACCTCCGGGATGATCTTGAAGACTACACCAATTTGGCCGTCAACCTTCGTCGTGAGTTTTCTTCTCTGGGTCCTCCAGCTCTTTCCTATGTATATATTTATTTATTTGTTATTTGTTTATTATTTCGTGGTGCTGGGGATCAAACCCGGAGCCTCACAAAGGCTAGGCAAAGTTATCCCACTAAGCTGCGCACACCTAACCTTCAAATTCTTCATTGCGATGCTTCCTGGACATACAGAGCTGAGTAAAATCTACTCGCTGCCCTGTGCAACCACCAGAACCTACTCCTGTCCTCCACGAATTGATTCTATCTCACTTCAGTCTTTGCCCCTATGCTGATGACCATTGAGGATGTATCCACACCTGTGCTCTGCAACTCAAGCCCCATTCAAAACTTCCTGTAGGGCCAGCACTGATAAGGATGGTCAGTTCAGTAGCCATGGTTTAATGCCCATATTACTGGACATTAGTCTTTCCAATATTTGCTTTTGCTCACTGCTGCTTTTTTTTTTTTTTTTTTTTTTTTGGTTTTTCGAGACAGGGTTTCTCTGTGTAGGTTTGCGCCTTTCCTGGAACTCACTTGGTAGTCCAGGCTGGCCTCGAACTCACAGAGATCCGCCTGGCTCTGCCTCCCGAGTGCTGGGATTAAACATGCCCCTTTTATAGGGTGGAGGTAGGATCAATTCCCAGAAGCAGATAGTAACCTAAAAGGCTTTGCAGCCACCACCTTTCAATAGAGTTCCATATGAGAGCCCTCTCACCTCTAAATCACAGGTCCAGGTGACACTCTAGAGTGACGTCATCACCCATTGCTTGAGACCCTCGATGGGGCCCTGAGGCCACCCTTTCCACTGTGTCACCTATCACCTGTCCCTACTCCAACACACATGCTTGGGACCTATCTGTCCCCACACTCAAGTCTCTCTATTGTCTCTCTTTCTTCCTTTCCTCTGAGAATGCCTCCTGTCAGCAGATCTGCCCGCTGCTACCCTGCTCTGGATCCTTGAGCCCCTGCAGCCTGTCAGGTGCACCGTTGATTTCAGCCTCCACCTCCCAACGGACAGCCCGGGTTTACTTTGAGTCCTCTCCCAGCATATCCCCCTCAGCCTCACTAGATGGCATTGTTGCACGCTTAGCCCTGTGGGCATGGCCCTGAGGTTTGAAAGGCTGAATGGATGGAGGGTGTCGTTGAAGAACATTAGAGGGGCTTTCTCCCTTTGCTCCATCTGCAGCTTTCCTTTCTGGCTGGGTTTTCTCTTCCTTGCTCCCATCCATATTAAAGCTCTCTAACTCATTCATTTCCTTAAAAATATCCATCACGATAGCCCTGAAAGATCTGCATTTCCCTCTAGAGTTAGAGATGTAGACCATGGAAGTATGGAAAAGAAGACCAAGTATATCTGGGAAGCAGCTTTCTTTCTTTTTTATTTATTAAAAAAATATTTTATACAATATATTCTGATTATACTTTTCCCTTCCCACAACTCTTCCCAGACCCTCCTGACCTCTGTACCCACCCATCTTTCTTTCCTTCTTTGGAAAACAAAACAGGTAGTGGTAGCTCTCGCCTTTAATCCTAGCACTCGGGAGGCAGGCGGATCTCTGTGAGTTCAAGGCCAGCCTGGTCTATAGAGTGAGTTCCAGGACAGCCAGGGCTACACAGTGAAACCCTGTCTCAAAAGAAAAAGAAAAAAAAGAAAGATGGATAGAAAAGAAAAAAAAAAGAAAACCACAAGAAACTCACACAAATCCACAAAAACACAAAACCGGAAACCATCATATACACACAAAAGACCAATAAGACAAGAAAAAAAAAAGCCCAAACAAAGCAAAATGCGACAAAAAGTCTACAAAAATACCACTGAGGTTTGTTGTTGTTGTTTGTGTGCTGTCTGTGGGGCCTGCCCTTAAGTGTGGTTAATATGCCCAGGGAGACTCCACTGGAGAAAACTGATTTTTCCTTTGCAAGCGGATATCAAGTGCAGATAGTTTCTGGGTTAGGGATGAGAGCCTGTGTCTACTTCCCTCTCGGCACTGGTGCCCAGCTGGCTTGTACCCCTGCAGACCCTGTGCGTGCTGCCAGTCTCTGTGAGTTCCTGTGTAGCAGTCCTGTTGTGCCTGGAAGACACTGTTTCTGTAGTCATCATCCCCTCTGGCTCTTCCAAGCTTTCTGCCTCCACTTCTGTATATCTGCCTGAGCCCTACGGGGAGGGGTTGATGAAGACATCCTATTTAAGACCAAATGTTCTAAAGTCTCTCACTCTTCACACTGTCCATTGTGGGTCTCTGTGTTTGCTCCCATCTACTGCAGGAGGAAGCTCCTTTGATGGCTGAATGAGGCACTGAGGAGTTATTGCTAAGTTCCTTTAGCAAAATAATAGTATTTGGTTTTCCCTTAGGCCCATGTCCTATCCAGCCTCAGGTTCTCAGCCACCCAAGCAGTGTCAGACATGGGTTCCACTTGTGGAGTGGGCCTTAATTGGGAGACTTTTTTTTTTAAAAAAAGTCAAATTTGGGGCTAAAGAGATGGCTCAGCGGTTAAGGGTGATTGCTACTATTTCAGATGACCCAAGTTCTGTTCTTAGGACCTACTTTAGACTACTTACAACCACTTGTAAATAACAGCTTCAGGATATCCAACACCCTTCCTGTTCTCCAAGGGCACCTGTATTCACATGCATGTTCTCCTAGACAGACGCATATGTTTATACATAGTTAAAACAGAAAGATAAAGCTCTTGCCGGGCGGTGGTGGCGCACGCCTTTAATCCCAGCACTCGGGAGGCAGAGCCAGGCGGATCTCTGTGAGTTCGAGGCCAGCCTGGGCTACCAAGTGAGTTCCAGAAGAGGCGCAAAGCTACACAGAGAAACCCTGTCTCGAAAAACCAAAAAAAAAAAAAAAAAAAAAAAAAAAAAAAAAAAAAAAAAAAAAAAAAAAAAAAGAAAGATAAAGCTCTTAAAGATGTATTTATTTTATTTTATGAATGTTTGCCTACATGTATGTCTGTACACTATGTGTGTGCAATACCTGAAGAGGCCAGAAGAGTGCATCAGATCCCCTAGAACTAGAATTAGAAACAGTTGTTAGCCACATGTGGGTGCTAGGTACCATCACTCCAGCTGTCTAAAACATAAACCTTTTGTCTTCTTGGGTTTGAGGGGCTGGCAATGGAGCGCAGTAGACTGCTTGCCTACCACACACAAAGCTTTGGGTTCGACCCCCAGCACCACATAACCTGGGTCTGGTTGTTCATGCCTATTATCTGAGCACTGAGGAGGTGGAGGCAGGGATCAAAGAAGTTCATGTTCATCCTCAGCTCTAAAGCCTGTTCAAAGAGACTCTGTCTAAAAAGAAACAACAACAAAAAAACAAGTCAGGCTGCTGGCACTCGGGAGGCAGAGGCAGGAGGATCTCTGTGAGTTCGAGGCCAGCCTGGGCTACAGAGCTAGTCCAGTTCAGGCTCCAAAGCTACAGAGAAACCCTGTCTCGAAACACCGCCACCCCCCCAAAAAAAAGTCAAATTTGAGGTAAAATTTCTCTCTCACCAAAGTATCCCAGGGTATTCCTTAGTCATCAGCACCTACCCCCATTCCCTTCCCTTGGCAACTGTTGGTCTGATTCCCTTCCCTGATGTTTGGCTTTTCCGGTCTCCTCTTTCACTCAGCATAAGGGTTTGAAATTTATCTCTGCAATGCATGTCTCAGCAGTTTATACCTTTTCATTGCCAAACAGCACTGCATTGTATGAATGCTTGAAAGCTCATCCATTCATTAGCTGATGGGGGTTTAACTTGTCCCTCATTCTGGCAGTTATGAATGAAACAGCTGTAACTTGCATAAAAGTCTATATATGCATGTGTTTACGTGTATACGCGCACACATACACACACACACACACACACACACACACACTTTTCTCTCTCTTGGGTAGGACTGTGGGTCTTGTGGCAATTATAGCTTTAATTTCTGGACAAGGAGGGTCTTATGCAAGTCATTGAAAGGGAACTGGTACTACAGATGCTTAAAACTATATTTTGTTCCAAAAACACAGTGTGATGATTGATCTACAAGTAGCTAAGACACCCAGATAAGCAAACCTAGCTGTGGGAAGCCTATAAACACCAAAGAGCGAGCAACTGCTGAAGCTCAGGGTATTTGAGAAGAAGAGATAAAATGGAGACAGGGCTGTTCTGCACCTCGGACCCATTCGACACACCTCAGTCACCCTGACTGGCTGTTCATCAGTTGTCCTGGAAACACTGGCTCAGGTTCCCAGGCAGCTGTTCAATGATAGGTCAGATGTTTATCTTTTACATACTCCAGAAACAAGGAATTGATCAGGTGGAGGGGTCTATATAATAAATGAAATAAATCGTCTTGTAAGCCACATTTCAAATGAACATCACACACAGAAAGTGAAAGTAACTATCCCAGTATTTTAGACGGCTTAGCCTATTTCCCCAGGCTCCAGACAGAAGGAAACTGAAACACAGTAAAGTTGTGGGGACACCCCTTTCTCACCCTGGCAGGGCTCAGTAATTTTGAAACAACTCAAGGACTGAGCCAGTCAGAAAGTACATCGTGGCCATGTGGCTAATGGGAGCAGATCTCCCACTGCCGCAGAAGAGGTTCCAAACAAAAGATGGTGGACGGCGAAAGGAGCTGGAAATGTGTTTAGTATTTTACAACATGCTTCCGAACGGAAATGTTGTTGTTGTTGTTGTTGTTGTTGAAGTAGGATTGAGGTTAGCGAATGGCTGAGGTAGTAAAGATTCTTGACCCCAAGCCCGATGACCTGAGTTTGATCCCCAGAACCCCATGGGAGAGGGAGAGAAGCAAGTTTGCACACACACATTAAATAAATGCTTTTTTTTTTTTTTTTTTTTTTTAAAAAGAACAGTAGACTTGGAGCTGGAGAGATGTCTCAGTGGTTAAGAGCACTGACTGCTCTTCCAGAGGACCCGAGTTCAATTCCCAGCAACCACATGGTAGCTCACAACCACCTGTAATGAGATCTGGTGCCCTCTTCTGGCCTGCAAGGACACATGCAGACAGAACACTGTATACTTAATAAGTAAAAATAAATTTAAAAAAAAAAAAAAAAGAACAGTAGACTTTAATAGTGCTTCTTTTTTTTTTTTTTTTTTTTGGTTTTTTTCGATAATAGTGCTTCTTAATCCCCACCTCCACCCCTGGCAGTGAGAAGAAAAGCAGAGGCTGTGCTGTTATCATGGGCTACATCACCAGCTCTGCTGTTTTTGAGAGAAAGGCGTTATTATGTAGCCCAGACTGGCCCCTAACTGGTGATCTGCCTGCCCCTTGACACACGAGTGCTAGAGATTATAAATGTCCCAATTAAATTTCTTCATCTTAAAAAGTCACATGGGCCAAGCCTGATGAATCATGCCTTTAATCCCAGCACATAGCAAGTTCCAGGCCAGCCAAGACTAGTGAGATATAAATATAAATATAAATAAAAAATAAAAAATACGGTAGTAGCAATTAGGAAGGAAAACAGTATAGCCTGTATAAAAGTTTGTTTCAAAATTTGTTTTATTTTTAAGTGTGTGTGTGTGTGTGTGTGTGTGTGTGTGTGTGTGTGTGTGTGTGTGTGTTCGTCTGTAAAGGTGTCTACCTAAAAAGGCCATAAAAGGATCTAAAAAGGCCATAAAAGGACATCAGGTCCCCTGGAGCTAGAGTTCCAGGTGGTGGTGAGCTACCTAATGTGGGTGCTGAGAACCAAACTCAGGGCCTTTGCAAAGACAGTATGCCCTTAAATATTTGTGTGTGTGTGTGTGTGTGTGTGTGTGTGTGTGTGTGTGTGTGTGTGTGTGTATGTGCACCATGTACATGCCATGCCTGTAGATTCCAGAAGAGGACACTGTGTCCCCTGGAACTGGAGTTACAGGTGAATGTGAGCTTGTCTGTAGGTGCTGGGACCCAAACCTGGGTCCTCTCCAAGAGCAGCAAGTGCTCTTAATAGGTGAGCCATCTCGCAAGCCTGCATAAAGGACTTTGGATATACATGTTTTTCTTTCTCTCAATAGGTCTTATGGGGAGGTTAACTTTTGTTCTGGGTCTTGGGTTCCGTTCCCAGCAACATAAGGGGGAGAATCGCCTGAGGATTTTTCTGAATAATCCAGTATCCAGCCCCGCTCCCTCCTTGCATCTCAGATGTCTGCACGCTTAGGCCTGAATGTGTTTGTTTCTCACAGTTGGGCAACCCTTAGCCAGGGTGAGCTATGGTATCTCTGAGCTCCTTTTAGTTCACTCTTCCGGGGAGGCCAAAGTAAAGCCAGTTCTAGAAAGCTGTGCGTATATATGATGGCAGCTGATAGCTGTCTTACCAGAGGTGCTTTAGTACAGAGCCCCAAGCATTCCACACACTTAGAAAGGCGCACAGGAAGCCCTTGGGCAATCTCTCGGGAGAAAATTCAGAACATTTTCAGAATTCATCATTGTCTTCTGGAGTGCAGTTCAACGTTTCTGGAAGGAATGGCCCAACTCCTCTCCTTCCAGTACGATAGCCCTCGCTGGCCCCAAGGCCTGAAATGTCTGTCCACCACTCGCCAGCCAGCCTGGCTCCTTTGGCCCCTGAAGCCTCTCCTGAGTTGTCGCTTTTCTGAGTGGCTGTGCAATTCACTGGGCTACCTTTCTCCTCAGCTCCCTAGGTCTGTGTCCTTCACAGGACTTACCTTTGTCTGGATTTATCTGTCCATCCTGTGCTAGGTTCACAACAGCGGCCTCAAAGGTTGAGAAACACTGAATCAGTGTTATTCTTGTCAGTTGCCTAATGAATCTCAGACTGGCCTCAGACTATGTAGCTGAGTATGACCTGATCCTCCTGTCCCCATACCCCAAATGCTGGGATCACAGGCATGTAACAGCATGCCCAGTATATGCAGTGCTGGGTATCAAAGCCAGAGCCTAATGCATGCCAGGCAACAACAACCAGCTGAGCCACATGCCCAGCCCAATTTTACACCTCTTCTTTCCACTATAAAACTGGGGCTGTGAGAATGTGAAATAGTTGGGGAATGCCACTAACAATGTCAGATTGCTGTTAAAGAATGAAATTTATTGTGCAGTTTGCAACTAATGTAACAAAATTTACCAGCCTATATAACTGTATCAGTCTCCCTTCCCGAGGAGAAGTAAACAGATAATAAAATGATGACACTATATTTCTTGACCACTCACATCCAATATGTTGACCCTTGTCGTTAAAGGGTGACACTATGAGCTGCTGGCAAAGCCATTGACATGGTTGAGCTGTTTAAATCCTGGAGGGAGTGTTACAGGACAGAGGGTATTCCAGAGTCAGCAAAGAGGACCGAGCACTGTGATGGATGGCCCCCGCAAAGTCATTACCAAGTGCCAATCAGGGGCTGATGGGCCTCTGATTGTTAAAATCTGGTTTGTATCAGCATTTCTGGACTCCCTGAAAACACTATAAAAGGCCGAACTTTAATGACTGGTGCAACAAACAAGGAATGGCCATGTTTGGTATCATGAGCCTCAATGACAGAGCTTCTCCAAAGACAACAAATTAATCCAGAACAGCGCTGCAATGGCTGCACCCATGCTGTGGTAAGCTACATGCACATTAGGAGTCTAGGCAAGAGCGAGTGTGCCTAGACACTCTCATCCATGCTGATGCATGTGGGACCAGAGGCTGACGTCAGAGTGTCTACCTCCACTGCTTCCACCTTGCTGAGATAGGACCTCCTACTAAACCTCTATGTTTAGATAGACTACCTGGCCAGTGAGTTCCCAGGACCTGCCTGTCTCTGCCCCCGTGCTGGAGTTAGAGGTACAGGCAACCACACCTAGGTTTCCATGGTGTATGTTGGGGGATCTGAATTCGCCTTGATGCTTGCATAGCAAGCACTTTACCCACGGAGCCATCTCCAGCCCTATAAGAGAGTATTTTTAAGGCAAAATGAAGAGGATGCTATATTGCTTATGAATACAGTAATATTTGGTTCTAAGCATCAATAACAAGGGTAGCATTGGTCCAAGGCAGACAGGCACTTGGTTAGATGTCTCTGCACAAGTATTTTCTGTTTGAGGCAGCAAAGATCGTTGCACAAGGTCATGGCTCTTAGCAGAGTTTTGTTGGGTATGTGTCTGTGTGTGCACGTGCATGCATGCGTGCGTGCGTGCGTGCGTGTGTATGAGAGAGAGATTTCTTGTTACTGTTTATTTTTTATGAAGGGATTTCTTTCAGCTTATTGTTCCAGAAGGGTTACTGTCATCCTCCACGGTAGGGAAGGCATGGATCCTGAGCATGAGGCTGACCCAGCAGTCAGGAAGATGGCTGACCTCATTTTATCCACACACAGGAAACAGGCAGCTTTAAATCAGTATGCATTCCTGAGAGCCTATCCTTCAAGGCTCCTGGCTTTACTTACTTTTTAGTCTAGGGTTTGACCCACAAGACTTCATTTTTATTTTAATTACTTTAAAAAATATTATTGATAGTAGAAAACTCTGGAAAGAAAACAGGGATTTACGCATAGATGGCAGGTTGCTGGAACTTTTTTTTCCCTTATAGGAGAGCACAAACGCAGTCCCCCACTACCACAAATTATGCAGTGAAGTTTCCCACATTTGGGGAAATCACAGGGGTCAGCACATCCGGAGAGAAATGGATAAGCCTCGCCCTGGGAAAACCACCTTCATGATCATGGTATCTCCCCAGGTTGCTGGAACTTTGATCAAACTGCAAAGGAAGGACCACAAATGTCTTTAGCTTTTGCTCCCAGCCCTCCTGTGTTAGAGTCCTTCTGTAGATGTGTTTCTATCCACATTTCCTCTACAAAAACCTGCATTTAACCTCAGAAAGCAGAACCCCTAGGTTTACCCTGGGAAGTACATGTCACGAGCTTACCTGGTGTTTCTGTTTAACAGGAAAGCTTGAAGACAGAACATTTGACTCTCATTGGTGAGGTCTTCAACACTCTGCACAAATACTAAGTCCAGCAGCATACTGAGCAGACTAAAACAATGTCAGGCATGTGACATCTTCAAAGACAGCTCCTTCATTGCTTGGGAAGGTGACAGGGAGCCCTACCTGTTGGGATGACACACTTGGCTCCAGAGGTCAACACAATTTTTCTGTACTGGAGAATAATTTGCAGCAGGTCCTGGGGATCGAACTCCTGTTGTCAGGCTTGGCAGCAAGCTTCTTAACTCATTGAACCACCTCTCTCATCTGAGAAAGGAGCTTAGCTATACAAACTTTATCAAATGCAGCAGTTTCATTTTAAACATTAATATAAAATTAAAAGGGCAGGGCAAAATGCTTAATCCGACTGTTTAAATAGACTTGAGAACTCTATTTTTTAGAGACAGAATCTCATGGGTCCAAGGATGGCCTCAAACTCACTAAGTATCCAACGATGGGTTTGAACTTTTGCTCATCTGATTCTACTCCTTTGGTGCTGGAATTCTAGGCATGCACCATCAGGCAAGGTTCATGCCTTGCTGAGGACCAAAACCAGGGACTTTGTATAGTGGTACACGCCTTTAATCTCAACACTGAGAAGTCACAGGCAGGCATATCTCTGAGTCTGAAGCCAGCCTGGTCTACATAGTAAATTCCAGGAGAGCCTGAGCCACATAATGAGACCCTGTCTCAAACAAACAAACAAATAAACAGACAGCCAAAAACAAACAAAAACCACAGGGCTTTGTATATTGTAGGCAAGTATTTACCAACTGTGCTACATCCCCATTCCCTAAACACCCCATTTCAAATAAATTTAAAACTTAATATTTCAATAATTTGCCTTCTGCAGGACTTAAACCCACGTTCTCCCTTTTCCAGAACACTTACAGAATCAGTGCATGAGTAGAGAATTCTCCCCAGGTTAAATAGTTTTTTTGATACAAACCCATTTAAAAATGTCAAGACCTCAGTCACTACAAATCCTTTTGGCCACTTTAAGTCGACACCACCCCAATGACTTAACCCTGAAGCCTGGCATGTTCTGAAATCACGTTTCCTTTTCATGTGACTCAGGCTCAGGGGTCCGATACAGAGCAACTGAGAAATAAATAATGTTACTGAGGCAGAAGATGATGCAAAGAAGCAAGGCTGCTGCTATCTGAGGCAGAGAGAAGGGTCTGGAGGTTGCCAAGAGCCACTCCTTCCTCAGCGTCTTGTCCAGAAGGATGGCTTCCATCTGCAAGTGTGTGGCCAGGATCACACACACGTGAAACAGCTGGTGACTGTGACCTGTGAAAAAACACAAAAGCTCATCAAGATTACCAATCAGAACCAGAGAAATGGCTCAGCGGGTGAAGGCTCCTGCTACCAAGCCTGGTAACCCGAGTGCCACTCCTGGGACCCTCAGGAGAGCATACATTCCCACCAGTTGTCCCGTGACCGCTGCATGCCATGGCTTGTGCACACCCATATATACACACACATGCATGCACACAGAATGAATTAAGTGCTGGGAAGTCACCATTCAAAAGGTCTATGGACGCAGGCTATGACATGTATGCTAAAAATGGGATGGCTAAATCCAAGGAGCCAGATCACAAGAGATCACATATATAGTTTTATTTGTTTGTTAACTTATTTCAGAGATGACTGTCTTTTGAGACAGGGTCTCATGTCACCCAGATTTGACTTGAACTCACTATGTATCTGAGGATGACTTTGAACTTCTGATCCTCCTGCCTCCACCTCCTGAGTGCTTTATAAGTTCACTTGTAAGAAATGCTTAGAGAGGCGGGTGAAAGACAGCCACAGGCCCAGTTGGATCCTCATGGACCCAGACTGGCCGAAGACATCCACAGGCCTACGGTGCAAGGCAGATAGATGCCATAATGATGAGCAAATATATGGTGGAGAAATGGGAGAGAAAGAGAAGTGGACCAGTTCTCGTGCTGTGGAAAGAGGCAGAACTGAAGAAGCCTAGGTGGTGAGAAACAAGCTAGTGTAGGTGGCTTGCTTACCACCCAGGACCATGGTGACATCCGGGCCTGTGCTGCTGCCAAGGGCCATGGTCCTACCCCCGCAGGGGAGTTGACAATGCCAGTCTGTGTTGACATCCGTGGCCCATGTTACCAAAGGCCACACTGGCGCCCTGGGGTCTGGGCTGCCACATGTCGGTGTCTGAGGACTGTGCCACCATAGGAACCATGCTGATCTGAGTGGCCTGCGCTGCTGCCACCCAGTGTCTTGGTGTGGACACTGGGCCCGAGCTGCAGCTGAGGGCCATGTCTGGATTCATGACCCTACTGCAGCCAGGGTCTGTGTTGATGTTCCATGCTTCAGTTACCACTGAAGAACAAACGGATGCCCAGGGTTTGGCCCACCACCCGAGGCCACGGTGGTGTCCAAGAGCCATGCTCCAGCTGTGTCATACTTATCTGAGTGGCCTGTACTGCCACTTGAGGCCATGGTGATATCGAGGCCCAGGCTGCTACTGAGGGCTGTGTCTGCTGGGTCCGTGGCCCTACCGTAGCCAGGGCCCATGTCCTGTGTTGCCCCCAAAGGCCACACAGATGCCTGGGATCTGAGTCTGGGCTGCCACCTGAAGCTATGTTGGTGTTCAAGGGCTGTACCACTGCCAGGGCCATGCCAACCTGTGTGACCTGAGCTGCTACCCGGGGCCATGGTATTGCCTGGGTCCATGCTGCTGCCAAGGTCCATGTCTGGATCCGTGGCCCTACAGCAGCCAGGGTTTGAATTGATGTCCATGTTACCACTGGGGGCTGTGTGGATACCTGGGGGTCTGGTTAGCCACCTGAGACGATGTTGGTACCCTAGGACCATGCTGCCGCCAGGGGCCATACTGATCTGGGTGGCCTGGGCTGCCCCTGGGGCCATGGTGATGTCTGAGCTTGAGCTGCTGCCGAGGGCCATGTGTGGGTCCGTGGTCCTGCTGCAGCTGGGGTCTGTGCTGATCTCCATGGCCCAAGACACCACAAGGGACCATAGGAACTGTGCCTGTTGAAATCCAAGGGCAATGCTGAGAAGGCACCACCCTTCCTGGCCCTGGGAGAGCTGGTCCTGCCCCTCACAGGAAAGTTGGCCCCACCCCTCACTATGGACATGGAAGAGCCGCCCTAGGACACCAGTGTAGAAGAGCTGGCCCCTCGCCTGAGGGGCTTGTCACTGTCTACAGAAGCCACCCAAAGGTGCTGTGATGGCTAATATTGTCAACTTCACAGTCTCTAGAACCACCAGGAGACAGACCTCTGTGTATGCCTGTGAGGGAGTTGCTGCATTGGGTTAACTGAGGTGGGAAGACCTGCCATCCCATGGGCTGGGGTCTGGACCCCATGCAAAGAGTGCAAGCTGAGGACCAGCGTTCATCTCTCTCTGCTTCCTGACTGTGGACACGATATGACCTGCTGCCTCAGGCTCTGCCACGCCTTCCCTTTCATGGTGGGTCACACCCTCAAGGCAGAAACCCAAATAAACCCTTGAGGATTGGTCACAGCAGAAAAGTAACGGACACGGGTGCTTCTTTCCCGCCAGAGTCAGAGCCAGGGGTGACAGCTGAGAGAGGTGACCCCACCCATCCTGCTCTGGGGGAACGGAGAGGGATCATTTCAGCCAGAAGCTCCGTGCTCTGACACCTCTCGAGATCACACACATACTTAGCTCGGCTCCCTCGAGTGTCCCATGGCCCCTGTGAGGGCTGGCCTTGCCCCAGCTTTGGAATTCTTGGGTCAGGAGGTCTGAGTTTGGGCCCGGAAGCTGCAGCCTCGGTCAGGGGTACACCTGGGACCCACGGCTCCACGTGACCCCAGGCCCTCCACTCACCATGTTCAAGATAGATGTTCTCCTCTGTATGGTTGCCTGCTGTCTGGGACCCTCAGTCACCTGAGAACCCGTCTTCCCTCTTCCTCTCTGGCTGCCCCCGCCCCCATGTTCACGTTGTACTAGGAAGTCAGACTAGGTGCCAACAGGATGGTGGCTCGTTGGAATGGCTCAGGGTCCTGAACCTACCTGCCCCAGTCCTCCCTGTCACTGGCAGTGCACTGGAGCACAAATGACGGCTTCAATCAAGATGTAAGGTCACTGCTGTACCTGTCACTCACCATGGCCTATACACGGATGGCTCCCTCTAGGGTCACTCCTTCCCAGGTCCCCTACCTTGTGGCTACACACACATTGTCAAGGATGTTCCCACCCAAGCCGAGAGAGTCACCCCCTGCTTCAGGGTCACCCCATCCCTGCCCCACCACACTCACCGATGTAGTCAAAGCGTCCAGGAGCCAGTCGCTCTGGCAGGTGAGCAGAGTACAAGAAAGAGGCCAGGAGGGTCATGATCATGTGTTTCTGGTGGTACAAGATGGCTTCATTTCTTGAACTCTCCCCTGGGAACAGGAAGAGCTGCGGGTGTTTAATAAAAACAAAAAGCAAAAGCCCTTGAGAAGTCAGACCTTGGATCTTCTTTCTCAGACCCACACCTCTCAGCACACCAACACAAGCCCCATAGGCCTAGGCCTCACCTCCTCAGGGTTGTGGCCTGAAGGAGGGATGTGTGGGGACGAGGGGAAAGGAAAAGGAAGAGAAGAGAACCTCAAAGAGATGAGTGTCGGGCAGTGGTGGTGCATGCCTTTAATCCCAGCACTTGGGAAGCAGAGGCAGGCAAATCTCTGAGTTCAAGGCCAGCCTAGTTTATAGATCAAGTTCCAGGACAGCCAGGGCTACACAGAGAAACCATGTCTGGAAAAACCAACCAACCAACCAAGCAAACAAAAACAAGAAAGAAAAGAGATGAGCAGAGAGAGAAGAAAACCCCTACTAGATATTGCTGCTTTTTCTGAAGATAAAATTCTAGCATGGAGGAATGGTCCTATCTGCCCGACTCCAGAGGCAGAGCTACAGAACTGAGGCTCATAATGAAGGCTTCAGGGCTTAGAGGCAAGCTGACAAGATGGCTCAGTGGGTAAGGTCCCTTGCTACCAAGCCTGATGACCTAAGTTCAAACCCCTGGGCCCACAGAGTGGAAGCAGAGAACTGACTTCCACAAGTTGTCCTCTGACTTCCTTATGCTTGCTGTGGCTTGCATATGAGGAGAGGCAGGCATGTGTACACAAAAGAAATAAATGTGATAGGAAAAAAAAACCTCTTTAAAAACAAAAATGCTTAGAAGCCTTCATCATTGAAAAGGATCACCATTTAGCCTAGCTTGGTAACTCAAGCTTGAACTCACTCCCTAAGGTAGAAATACTGGAAGTCAAGGCCCATCTAGTCAATGGAACTAGTTGAAGGCCAGCTTGAGCAACCTAGTGAGATTCTGTCTCAAAATCAATAAGTGGCTGGGATGTAGCTCTATGGTAGAGCCTTTGCCTAGCACACAGAAGACCTTAAGCCCAGCATCAACCACCCTGCAATGTATGGCCATTATATTGCTTCAAGGTTAAGCAGAGTTTTTGTATTTTATAAATAACAATAGATTCCCCTTACTAGAGGCACCAGGCCAGCTATCTCTATGCCTCAGATGGGGCCTGCTGCAGTTCGACAGCTTCTTCTGGCATTGTGGGAATGTGTTTCCTTTGGCCCCTGGGTCCTTAAGGCAGACCCTAATGCTGAATTCTGCACACAAGGAAAGTGAGCCTGAGATTGACTTGCAAAGCACCAATAATCAGTGAAGTGAGGGTTAGAATCTAGGCAGGGCAATTCTGGTATTAATGCAACCACCTCCTACCCCTCTGCCCTACTGTCCCACACAGCCTCTAGACAGCATCACACAGCATGAAATCTGCATGTAACTGGTGACAGGTATCAGCTGAAGTTCCCTGTGTGTGTCTGCAGTGGGAGCTCTGAGTCACGCTCCCATCCCCAAGTCTCCTGTAGACACACTCAGGGAATTACAGAGAAAACACCCAGTGTCTCAGGTAGCAAGTAAAACTTCACTACCCTGATAGGAGAATGTCTTTCTGTATGCTGTGAATATATGTTGCTCTGATCGGTTGATAAATAAAGCCGTTTGGCCTATGGCAAGGCAGCTTAGAGGCAGGCAGGAAATCCAAACAGATAGACATGAAGAGAAAAGAGAGGCAAAGCAGAGCCACCACCAGGAGAAACAAGATGTAAAGGTATTGGTAAGCCACAAGCCATGTGGCAAAGTATAGATTTATAGAAATGGGTTAATTTAAGATATAAGAGCTAGCTAGCAAGAGGCCTTCCATAGACCATACAGTTTGTAAGTAATATAAGCCTCTGTGTGTTTAATTGGGTTCGAGTGGCTGCAGGACCGGTAGGACACAGGAAAACTCCAGCTACACTACCCTCACCCCTTGCCATCTGGGTCTCACACTGCCTCTGGGAGAAGCCTACTCACAAGGTAATGCTGAACCTATAAGATCCATTATATCCAAGAATCCTCAATATCTCCTATAGAAGCAGACGCTAGCCTCAGGCACAGATGAGGAAGCCTAGGTTCAGGAAGGTTATGTGTACTGCCGAAATCACACAGCGAGGAACCATGGGGACTAGAATTTGAACTCGGCTCACGTGTCTTGTGAGTGAGAGTCTTTTCCCGTTGTCCTGGCCTCAGCTCCCCTCCATTGTGCTCTTTGCCTCATTCCCATCTGTCCTTTTCCCTCACCAATACACTGTATTACTGATCATATACAATCATGATCACCAAACCCCAGGCTGCTTGCCTTGTGGTGGTGGTTTAGATAGAAATGGCCCCCATAAACTCATGTGTTTGAATGCTTGGTCACAGGGAATGGCACTATTAGGAGGTGTGGCCTTGTTGGAGTAGATGTGGCCTTGTTGGAGGATTTGTGTCACTGTGGAGGTGGACTTTGGGGTCTCCTATGCTCAAGCTACACCCAGTGTGGCTCACAATTCACTTTCTGTTGCCTGCGGATCAAGATGTAGAACTCTCAGCTCCTTCTCCAGCACCATGTCTGCCTGCAGGTCCTGCCATGACAATAGTGGACCAAACCTCTGAACTGTAAGCCAGCCCCAGTTAAAGGTTTTCCTTTATAAGAGTTGCCGTGGTCAGGGTGTCTCTTCACAGCAATAGAAACCCTAACTAAGACACTTGCCCAGGTCTCTGTGGTTGCTCCTAAGGCCCTAGTCAGCTTGTCTCCAGGTACCTCTGTGTTCACACTGTCTCTTACCTGCAGCACCCGAGTCTCAACTCCTGTGGGTCCCCCAGAGCCCACTGCAGTGTTATGACTCCCTCAGAGCTCAGGAAACAATGAAGCCGCTGGCCTTGCTGACAAGAAGGGAGGAGATGTAGCCCACGTCCTTACCCTGTAGAAGATGGGGAGTGAGTCCCAAGTGTAGGGGTAGGCGAAGGCGAGGACCCGGAGCAGCTTGCAGAGCCGGGGCTTCTGGAGTTCGAGAAACCTGAAGTCAGGGAGGAAACGGAGGCTTTTCAGGAACGCACACATGAGCATCTGGGTCATCACCAGAGGACAAGCATTTTTACATGGCCTCCTATGGACCACAGCCTCTCCACAGGCCTCTCTCCTTCCTCCTACACTGGCGGACAGGACAAAACCTCAGCTAAGAAGGAGAAACCTGCTCAGAGAGCTTGAAATGCAATGGGTGCAAACCAAGCGGGGCGGGGCGGGGGGGGGGGGGCTCAGACAAAACCCTGCAAAGGTCAGAGGAGACTGACAGCAGAGGTTTTAGGAGAGATGGCTCAGCAGTTAAGAACACTGGCTGCTCTTCCAGAGGACCTGGGTTCAATTCCCAGCACCCACATGGCAGCTTACAACTGTCTGTAACTCCAGTTCCAGGGAACCCAGCACCATTGGCACAATAAATGCATATAAAATTAATTAAATAAAGAAAAGAGGTTTTAGAAGGCTGACATCACCAAGACAGGAAGGGGGCTTCTCAAGCACAGACTCCAGGTCGCACATTCTACAGAAGCAGAGATGCACCGAAATAACTGGAACCACCCAGGCAATGCCCTACAAAGACCTGGGTTCAAGGGGGTGCTGGATTACCCAGAGAAGTTTCTAGAATATATCATGCACAGGAACACTGGCCTGGGGAAAGTGAATGTGCAGAGCGTCTGTCTTTCTCCCCTCCATGAGCTTTCCCACTGCTCTCCAAAGCAAAGACAGAATCCAACAGGAACCCATTGCGCTGACTATTTAGAAGCAAGAGGCAGGTCCTCCTGGACAGGCCACCACTGGGCCTCGGGGGACCTCGAGAGGGGTAACAGCTTTAGACCTGGGTTACCCCTCTCTGGATACCCAGACTGGATATCAGGAAGTTAGGGTTGAGCAAGGTATCCCCACAAAATGGCAGCTCTGGAACTGGTGGAATGCCTATCCGGCCACCATGCAGGAAGCCCTGGGTTCCATCCTCGGCACTCACGAAACAGACATGGTGATACATTCCTGTGATCCCAGCACTTGGAGACCAAGTCAGGAAGATCAGAAGCTCAAAGGCATTTTTAATATATTTTCATTTTAAGCATATTTTAAATAAATTTAATCTATTCTATAAGTGAATTGGAGGTCAGGAAGATCAGAAGTTCAAAGTCATTTTTAATATATTTTATCTAGTGAATTTGACGTCAGCCTGGGCTATGTAGTGTCAAAAAAAAAAAACAACCCAAAACTCAGTTACCATCTTGATTATGCCACAACGCTGGGGAGGAGGCAGCAGGGCTGTGGTCTCATGGGAGCACACCAGATTCCAGCGCAGGCTGGACATGCCAGGACCACGCTGCTTAGGGCAGGTCGCCTCTAAAGCTGTGTGTGACCTGTCCCTCCCTCACAGTGTTGTAAAGACTTGAAGAAATGAGGCCCCCAGTCATGCATAGCCCAGGTGCTAACCGTAGATCAGAAAGCAAACAACCACTCCTGCTCAACACCAGCTATTCTGGAGCAGAGGGTAAGACCAAGGGAGGACAGGTTCTGGGTGGACGGTCCAAGAAGGAGCTGAGAACAGACACAGCTAGGCTTTAGCCCAAGGTGTCTGTCCCCAAGTGTCACATTGCCCCTGCCTGCCCCTGATAGCCCCAGCCTCTGTCCTTCTTCCCCCAGGGGCCAAAGGAAGCAAACACATTCCCACAACCCCAGCAGAAGCTATCCACCTGCAATAGGCCCCTTATGCCTCTGCCGCGTCTGGGACAGGCTCACTCCTAAAGAGTGCTCCTTGTGGCCACTTACACACGAAGAAAACCTGGCTCTGACCTGGTGAGGGTTGTCCCCCAAAGCACGGGTTTCCTGCGACTTGAGACCACGTGTCACCAGGTCTGAAAAAGTGCTTCCCCAGGGGGCAAATGGACCAGCCTCTCCAGCAGCAAAGCTGAGTCTACAGGGGACAAAAAGAAGAAGAAGGAGAAGAAGCAGAATAGAAGAGACAAAGCAACAGAGGAGGGGGGAAAGAAAAAAGAAAAAAAAAAAAAAAAAGCCCTTAACCACAGAAGACAGGATCACTCCCACGATGCAATTCCACATCCAACCACAGGATGTCGCCACAGCCAGAGATTCCTAGCAGCAGCAGCCATGGCTAGAGATGCCTCCAAAGCACCCAGCAACAGTTTCCAAAGCACAGCTGGCTTACACACCCTGGAGTTGAGAGCTCTGCCTGGGAAGCAGTTGCAGGAAACACTGGATCCGGGGAGAAGCCTCCCATAAGACCAGGGTGAGTCAATAAATCTTGGCAACAATAATGCCAAAACTAATGCTTGATGCGAGCAGTTAATTGGAAGTTATTCAATTGCAAAGCATACATCTATGTGCATGTGCGTGCATGCGTGCCTGTGCTGTCTTCTATTGTGTGGGGGTTTTATCCTAGTCTGGAGACTCCCAGGAAGGGGACCGTTTTCACATGCCTGACCCTAGCCCTGGCTGCACTCAGCCACCTGGCTGAGGTGTCATAGCCTCCAGAACTTGGTCTGTTGAGCCACCGCCCCTGCTCTGACCCCAGCCCCTTTGAGGCTGGCTTTTGCCACTCTACATACTGAGGTATTGCTCCTCTGGTCCAGATTTACTTTGTGACCGTCACCATACTGACCTCAGTGACTTTGCAAAACAAAAACAAAATTCATAAAAGTTGGGAGAGGTGTGGATGTCTGCACCCCCGCTGGGGTGGGCAGAGGTGGGGTGGGGGTGGGAGTGCTAAGGTGAGGGGTTAGTCTTAGGCTACATAATGGGTGCCCGAGCAGCCAGGGCTAGACAGTGGAACCCTCTATCAAAACACACTAAACCAAACCAAACTCACTGGCCAGACGGGCATGCTGAAAGGAAGAGCCACAGTGACGGCTGGCCCGAGGCAAAGAGAGCAAGGCGAGCTTGCTGGCTGCGGGCTGAGGGCAGGGTCAAGAAGGGAGCATGTTGGGGCCCTGATCATCTTCCACAAAGCAAAGGGCTTAGCTCCCCTCTCAAGTGTGGCAGCATGAGAGGACCCCCACACGGCCACTGGTGACATATATCTCAAAGGTCCTGTGGAGAGGAAGCTGAGCCCAGAAAGAAGAGCCCAGGAGATCACTGTCCCCGAAGAGCAAAGGGTGGACCTCTGAGAGGGTGCTAGATTTCCCAGCTTGCCCTCGGGCCCTCTCTAGCCCTCCTCCCTCCCACCCTGCAGTGCAGCGTGGGCCCTCCACTCTCCCACACTACCATCCTTGCCCAGGCTGACTGCGCTGCCCAAAGGCCCTTCCTTATCTCCAGCTTCAGGTCTGTCTCGTGCTCCCTCTCAGTTCTAAGACAGCCTCTCGGGGCCCTGTGTATCCAAGTGTATGCCAGCCACATGACCTGCTTCCCTTGCTCTCTGTTCTGCTCCACAGAGCAATGGCAGTTCCCTCTCAGACTCGTGTGTGTATGTGTGTGTGTGTGTGTCCTGCCTTTCCTGCACCTGGCACCCTCTTTAGGCAAGACCTCACTCTTCCAGGTGTGGCGGACTTTTCATATGGGTCCCCAGAGCCCAAGCAGCCTTTGAGGAACGCTAGTCAGGTGGGTGGGGACAATTGCCCCAGATGTGCTTTCTGGACCATCAGAAACAAACTGTGTCATAGTCAAGGAGAGAAGGCCCAAAACACGGGGCACAAGACATCCCTGGGCCAGTGACAAACACCATCCAAATACACCAGGCTTGCTGAATCCACAACACCCACCAATGAGCCTGCACAGTCAAGGACGACTCTGGGCAGAAGAAAGCAATGGACCCTGGTGGCTAACAGGTGGCCAGTCAGGAACATTTAAAAACGTAATTTAAAAGGCTGCAAATGTCCTAATACGCTCGTGGGAGCCCACAAAGGTTTCCTAGTGAGATCTGAGCAGGGCTGCATTAGGGGATGGCTGGACCATGTGCATGGTCACCAGGTGTCTGGGATGGTCTACACTTGGCTGTGCTGGGGGGAGGTCTTTGCTCCACCCCTTGGCATTCCTTTAAAAAGCCCTTTAGTAGAGACAGAAGGGGCTGGTGGGGTTTGACCCAGGCCCTCCCGAGGCTATCCTGTGTTTTCTAACTGTCTCTCCTTATACTTCTATCTACAAATTCCCCATTTCTCCCTGCTCAAGAGTACCTAGGGGAATAAGAGGGAGCAGATCTCCCTCATATGCTGCACCGTGAGCCCCTGGGAAATCAGTTTTGTGGGATTGTGTCTTTCACACCCATGAGCTGCCTCAACCCCACCTACCCACAGCGTTTGTTCCTGCTGACCCCAGTTCAGAATGCCAGAGCCACAAGGCGCTTAAGACCCAACCACACAGGGCAATAACTGACCCAAAGACCCGATTCAGGAGAGTCCAGGCCTACCCAGCAGCCCAGGCAGCCAGAGGAAAGATCACCCAGGCACACTGCATCTCTGTGATGTGAGCATAGCTCTTACCATGCATGCATATTGCTTCATTCACGATGGAGACCTAACCCCTCTCCACCATCAGTGGGATCCCCAGATTTCCACACCGGTGCAGAGGCTATATACCACACCCTTTAATTCCTCCTGGAATTAGAAAGACATAGCAGCCCAGGACAAGGGGCTTTATTTCCTGGCTCTACAGGTGGATTCAAGCCCCACCTAGCTTTCAGGGAATTCTATGATTTCCACAAAGATAAGGGAGACCCTCCCCATTCCCCATCCCCAGCATTTTCCCAGGGGATGAAGCCACACAAAATCCAGTGTAGGACACACCACGAGGCACTTTCACCCCCAGGGGGAGCAAACCATGTCTGCCTCCTACCCTTCTCAAACATCCTGGCCAATGGAGGGCAAGCTGGGGCGAACCTTTCTGATGTTGTACAGGAACCTATCCTCCCACATTTAAAAAACAAAAACCCGGGCTGGAGAGATGGCTCAGAGGTTAAGAGCACCGACTGCTCTTCCAGAGGTCCTGAGTTCAATTCCCAGCAACCACATGGTGGCTCACAACCATCTGTAATGAGATCTGGCACCCTTCTCTGTATATATAATAAATAAATAAATCTTTAAAAAAAAAAAAAAAAACCCAGCTGCCTCAAGCCCCAGCTGCCATGACTTCCTGCCTTGATGGACGTACCCTCCAACTGTGAGCCAGAGAAAACCCCTCTTCCTTTCGGTCACTTTTGTCAGTATTCTGTCCTAACAATGAGTAAAGTCACCAAAACATGGGACAACAAGGCTCCTCGAGCCTTCTCCATTGGGCACCTCCCATGGGGATGCACGGTAGGTCCTCCCCGACTTCCCACCTGAGACCAGACTGCCCGGTACCTGGAATAGCAGGAGAGGCCAGTGCTGAGAATGGTATTCAGCACAGCCAGGGCTACATAGCATTCATGGAAGGTACTGCAGACCAGTGCGTCAGGGAACGTGTATGCAGAGTAGGCAATGGCTGAGCCTGCGAAAGAAACACCAGCCTTGAGACCCAGGCCAGGCCACAGCACCATGAAGACTCCCAGGAAAGACTACCTTAGCCTTCATCTTCTGCACAGACTCCTGAGCTAGCCTGCCTCTGTGCCTTCTCAGAATGTCCTCCCCTTACCTCTCCGCCCACTCAGTGTCCTTCTTAGACACATTGTGTGTGTGTGGGTGTGAGCGCATACTGTCTTTACAATCCTGACCCATATGAAGCTTACATTTATTTTATAAATGAGCATATAGAGGCACAAGGAGATCTAGTAGCTCACTTGGAGTCACACATCAAGAAAATAGAAATAAGCTTCAAACCCAGGCAGCCTGGAGATGAATCCCTGCTTCTAACCACAGGCTGTCACTAATGACGCTACCAAACTCATCTGCCTATGGACAGGGTGCTTCCTGAGAAGCTCAGCATCACAGGAAGAGAGGGCATCCCTAAGGACAGGGATGTCCTATCAGTGGGCTGGGGGTGACCAGTGAGTGTGGGGTTTGGCTCTGGGTTTTAGAGTATGAGAGAGGCAGCTACATCAAGGCCTTCTAGAGAGACAAGCCATGAAAGCTTTCAGCTGGAGGAACAAGAGATACTACTGCCCACCTCGAAGTGGCTGGGACCTGCACCCTTACCTTTGGGAGAGGCTGGATCTGGCCCCAGTTCATGTTATTCGAATACAGTGGTTCCAGCCCTCCTAATGCTGCAACCATTTAATTCTTATTTGTGGTGACCCCCCAACCATAAAATCATTTTTGTTGCTACTTCAGAACTGTAATTTTGCTGCTCTTATGAATCATAATGTAAATATCTGTGTTTTCCAATGGTCCTAAGTGACCCCCATGGAAGAGGTGCTCAACCCTCAAAGGGGTCTCGACCCACAGGTTGAAAACCAATGTTTCAAGTCATCAAGCACCTTGGATTCATAGCTAGAGGCAAAAACAGGCCAGACTCAACCTGCCTTTTCTCCCATTCAACAGGTGGATCACAGGGGCAAGGGACCACGGCCTGGTGGAAGTCACCTGAGGGGACCACAGCCTGTGGAAGTCACCTGCAATTCCAGTGCTGGGGAGGCAGAAACAGATGGATCCCTGGGACTCATTAGCCAGGCATCCTAGCCTAATTGGTAACTCTCAGGCCAGTGAGAGAGATTGTCTCAAAAAGTGCTGGGCACCTAAGGACCACCCGAGGTCCCCTCACCTTCACACACATGTAAACAAACACAAGGGCCAACAGAAAGGGCTGAGCATCACCGTCCTGGAACAGTGCAGAGTTCCCATGGGAGTTTACCCAGGAACTCAGCTCCAGGAAACCAGGGTACCCTTCTCCAGACCCAATGCTCAGGGAGATGTCTGGACCAAGATGTTCCACCAATGCTGACTGGAGTCAAGGTGTGCACCAAGTGTTGTATGCAATGCAAGCATAAAGGGGCCTCATACCTGCCTGAAATACAGCAGGAAGCAAAGCTGACCTGAGACAGGGGGTAGGGGTAGGGGTCTGGTGGAGGATAGGTGTTTGAGATAGGCCAGGGAGCAGGTAAAGCTGACCACTGTCAATCATAGTAATGGCTGCCCTGTGAAATGGACATGGACTCAAAAGCATTTGAATTTGTTCATAACCCTCCTACGTCTGCTCAAGAGAACAAGGCTTAAAGAAGTTAATAAATTCATCTTAGACTGAATTTAGGACTGGTGGTACAAGGTCAGGATCTGAACCTGAGTGTTGTGTCAAAATATGTATCAGAGGGGCCTGAGAGAGCTAGTTCAGTTTCCAGCATCCACACTGGGCAGCTCACAACTGTTGTGGGATAATGCTTTTGTACAATGGTTTAATAAAATGCTGATTGGCCAGTAGCCAGGCAGGAAGTATAGGCAGGATAAACAGACAAGGAAAATTCTGGGAAGAGGAAGGTCAAGTCAAGAGATGCCAGCCCACCGTCTAGGGAGCAGCATGTAATGGCACACAGGTAAAGCCACGAAAAACATGGCAACATATAGATTAACAGAAATGGGCTGAGTTTAAGTGTAAGAGCTAGTCAGTAGTAAGCCTGAGCTAATGGCCGAGCAGTTTCAATTAATATAAGGCTCTGTGTGTTTACTTGGGTCTGAGCGGCTGCAGGACCGCAAGGTCGTAGGAGCTGGGCAGGCACAGGAAAACTTTCAGTTACACACAGCCAATTGTAACTCCAGTTCCAAAAGACCTGATGTTCCTGCTGCCTCCACGGGAAACCACACATGTGGCACACAGACAAATAGAAATAAAAATAAATATTTTAAGAAAGATGTGTTTCAGGGGCTCAGCACATAGATGGCCTAGAAGGACTTACCAAAATGCTTGCTTTTATTAGAATCTCCAGGGAGCAGCTGAGGATGTAGCTCAGTTGGTAGAGGGCTTGCCTGGCACGCACACAACCCTGAGTCCCATTCCCAGCACTGCATAAATCACTGGAGTTACAAATCACTATAGTGGCACACACCTGTTTACACAGCTCTTAGAAGATGAGAAGAGGAGGGTCAGAGGTCTAGGTCATTCTCAGCTACATAGCAAGTTCAAGGCCCTCTTTCAAAAAAGTGGGGGAGGGAAGGAGGGAGGGAGAGCCAGTCCTCAGGAAGCCACTGGGTTGGACCTTATCCCAGGTAATAAGAACTCTGAAAGCCTTCTAGTGGGAGGAGACCTGGCAGGAGATGAGGCAGGAACATGGTGGAGCTGCAGGGCAGGGCCTCTAAGAAGCTCCAGGTCTGAGTCAGGCTGATTAAGGGTCCATGGAACAGCCTGAGCTTGATCACTGATTAGATAGAATGGGAAGCAGAGGTGGGGAGGAGGAGCCCAAGCTCATTAGTTCTGACTTGAGCAAAGCAGGAGGTAGCACCCCTAGCCAGGGACCTGAGAGGAAGAGCAGGGGTCAGCCAAGGGTGGGCCAGGGTGGGGAGAAGACTCAGTCCTGGCTTCAGGCTCACCCAGTGTTTAAAGGTAAGGTTTAGGAGTCCCTTGTTCAGAGATGTTAGGGCATGGGAGGTTGCTCCTGGGCATGTTAGACAAAAGGCCCCATGGTTAGTCCTGAGTTACTGACAATTCAGTGTGCCTAGTTATGGGGTAGAGGAGAGGAAGGAACCAGAAAGGAATGAGAACAGGGATGTAGGAGGGGAGACATGAAGGGGTTGGGGCCATGGCAACCAGTTTTAATGATTGGAGAAAACTGGACAGTGGAGCATTGAGCAGAGTGTGTGTGTGTGTGTGTGTGTGTGTGTGTGTGTATGTGTGTGTGTGTAAGAGAGACAGAGACAGAGAGAGGGGTATGCAGGTGTACAATTATGAAGGAAGAGAAGAGGAAGAAGAATGAGTGTACTAGAATAGTATTTTAAGGTGTGTTACTTTTGTTTATGCTGCATTTGTTTAACTCTGTGAAGCTGTGTTACTGTGCCTGTGCAAAACACCTGATGGTCTAATAAAGACCTGAACAGCCAATAGTGAGTCAGGAGAAAGGATAGGTGGGGTTGGCAGGCAGAGAGAATATATAGAAGGAGAAATCTGGGAGGAAAGATAGAGGAACAAGAGAGAAGGAGGGGGACATCAGGGGCCAGCCACCCAGCCACCCAGCTACACAGCAAGCCATGGAGTAAGAGTAAGATTTACAGAAGTAAGAGAATAAGAAAGCTAAGAGGCAAGAGGTAGACGGCATAATGTAAGTTAAGAAAAGCTGGCTAGAAACTAAGCCAAGCTAAGGCCAGGCATTCATAATTAAGACTAAGCCTCCGTGTGTGATTTGTTTGGGAGTTGGGTGAAGGGCCCCCCACAAGAGCCAAAACACAAACAACAACAACCACAGATGAGTGTAACCTCCTGCGGGACAAACTCTTGCAAAAGCAGATACAGTGACTGGCTTTCACAGCTAGAGTGGGTCTAGGCGGGAGGAAGAGAGCACCAGCATCCTAAGGGATGGATGCTAAGAAGCAGGGGGAGGGGCTTCCTGGTGAGAAAAAAAAGTCCAGGAGGATGGGGCAGCACCACCTCACCCGCCTCACCAACAGCTCGCCGTCCACTCCTGCAGGGCTTTGGGCAAGTATGACACCTCCAAGCCTCTGGGGAATGTGGTTTGTGACTCCGTCCTCCTTTCTCTTCCACATATACCAGGTCCCAGCCCTGATGTGCTGGGGGCAGCCCATGGTGGCCTGTGAGAGCCAAGCCGAACATTCCAGAGTCCTTGCAAGCCTGTGGTTAATCTCGGCCCTCACTAAACGTTACAATTAAATAAATCACAGTAACCAGACTCCTAAGTTCTTAGCGCATGGGTCTGTGTGATGGAGTTACTATGTTGGGCGGTTGCTCCTCGGCTTCTCCTTAGACCTCTACAACTGGTGATGCCACTCAGAGAACAGGATGGGAGGCAAGGGGGGGGGGGGCATTTACACCACAGGAATTGGCAAACACTACAGGTCAGGGTATATCCACAGACAGCACAGGTATGAACAAGCTTCTTACAGAGCCCTGGACAGAGCCTGCATCCTCATGACTCTTCCAAAACCCATCAAGTCTCTTGGGAGACAGGCAAGTGGCACTCTCAAGGTGAGGGAATGGACGGGCAAGGGCCTCACGTACCCAGGCTGAAGAGGTTGACAGCACCATAGTCCAGAAAGTAGCAGATATGCCGGGCGTTCTTGGACATAGAGCTGAAAGTGTGCGCACAGCTGGAGGCAAGGGGGTACACACAGCTGGTGCACATGTACACGAGCATAGGCCATGAGTAGCTGTCATTCTGGATGTCTGTCATATACAGTGCAGTCACGAACCTCCACACAAAGAACCTAGAACAGAACATGCACCCACTCAATCCTCTCTTGAATGTCTTCTGCCTCCCACCCCACTGAGACACAGCCCATCCAGTGACTCTTTATACAATGAAATGACATGTACCAGAGAGGCTGCAGGGGGACAAGTGTGCCTGCCTTATTGACTTGAAGCGGTGAACTGGTAACAGACAAGTAGGGTGAAAAGACAGTCCTTAGAGATAGGATCCTTCCTACAGCATCCCGCCTAAGATATTCTCCAGTCTCAGCTTACATACCCCTAAGAATGAGGGTCTCATCCCCTCTCATGGTAGCTCTGAGTATTGGGAAGTTCATCCTAAGTCATATTTACCTAGCCTCCAACCATCCATATGTGGGTTCTGCCTACAAACACCTCCCTTTCACAAACCTCTACTGGAGAGCTAGGTCCCTTTCCCACAATGTCCACCAAGAAAAGGGACTCTCCACATCTCTTCACACAGTACTGAAGGAGGGTCACAAAGCCTTTCTGGCTACCACTGTGGTCTTTCTCCTATGGTCTAGCAGATGGGGCACTTAAGCTGTTTGCTGTTCCTTCAAAATTTTCCTTTTGTCAACAACAGATTATTCCTCCTCCTACTTGCTTGAGGTATCCTAATGCAGATTCTCCACAGTGCTCTGCACTGTTGGAGTGGATCATCTGAGAGTTTGGCTTGGCATTGGGAGCTGGGAGCAGTGTAGACAGCTCAGCTGTGCATGGACCTCAAGATACATAAGCAATGGTAGGCATTATGTAGTAGCACAAACTTCAAAACAGCCTAAACTTAGACAGGCATAATGGCACATGTACTTGGGATATAGAAGAAGGATGATCATCCTTGGTTATACAGAGAGCTCAAGGCCAGCCTGGGCTACATGAGACCCTATCTCAAAAAAAACTAAACCAAGACAACAAGAAAGCCTAAGCAAACTATGGCCCATCCTCCAGTCAGAACACCTGTTTGGAGGCCTTAGCATCTCAGACACAGATAATGTGATCTTCGAGGGAGACCATGGGAGAAATGACAGGGGGCTGGTACACATATGTCACAGTCAAGGCTTTCTGGGAAAGCTCTGGAGGGCACACAGAAAACAGGTGGCCCCGAAACTCTGGGGAGGAGAGTGAGGGGCAGAGGGGCAGCCTGGATCTGTTCCCCTGTGCAGTTTGTCAGCGTGTACAGGTTGCTGTCGACATTGCTTTGCAACAGGGCCCAGCGGATAGCCCAGGCTGGCCCTCAAAGTCACGATCTTTCTGCCTTAACTTTCCAAGTCCTGAGATTGCAGGCATGTACAACCATGCTCAGATAGCATAAAGTATTTAAAAATTTTTGCATTTATCATTGTATATATGGAATGTGGTGTGTGTGTGTGTGTGTGTGTGTGTGTGTGTGTGTGTGCACATGTGCATGCTATATCACATATATAGAGGCCAGAGAACAACTGTGTGACGTCAGTTTTTTCTTTCTACCTTTACATAGGTTCTGGAGATCAAACTCAGGCTGCCAGGCTTGCTTGCCCATTGCCTTTACCCACTGACCCATCCTGCCAGCCTCAGATTTCTACGTAAGCAAAGATTTAACATGGCTAGTGGCCTTCTTGAGCTACCAGACCTTGCTGCCACTGCCCAGAGTGCAGGCCGCAGGGCAGTCAAGCTTCTCTACGGATCATCCCACTTCACCCCAAGACTGTGTCATCTCTCCCCACTCCTGTTAGTTGCTGGATCCCCCACTCTGTCTTCTGACATCCGGTAGGGCTGGCTGTTCCATGCTGAAGCACAGGGACCTTCCTGGGACTTGTGTCCGCTTGCCACACTCGGGGACTCTCCACCTATCTCAGTTTCTCAGTAGGACTCAAAGGATTTGTTCAGGCCTGGCCTGGGCCACCATCCGTGTGCTGTATGGAAGGTGCCCCTCTCCAGCTGCATCTGTTATCATGTCAGCACAAAGGTCCTCAACCCTCCAGACCTCCACATTCTAATTCCTCAGATTCAACCCAAATATCCCAGCAGGGAGGGGCTGCTTCTGTACTGAACACATAGCAATGTTTTTCTTGTCCTTGTTGTCTGAACAGTGTAACAACCTTTGGCATAGAATTTACTTTGCCTTAGTATTTTAAGGAATCTGGAGATGATTTAAAGTGCATGGGAAGATGTGCAGAGAGATCTATAAATACTGTGCCACCTGATGCATGGACAACTTGCAGGTTCTGGCATCTTTAGGGGATCCTGGAACCAATCCCCACAGATACTCAGAGAGAGCTGCACCTGAATGCAGAGAGGTGACCCTGTTCCACCTCTCCATTACCAAGCAAAGGCTCAAGGTGTGTAAAGTTGGTCTGCACCCCACCTTTTTCAGCCTCTTGGCCTTCCTGGAACCTCCATTCCTGCACCCTTACTTCCCATAGCTTGGCTCCATTAAAGGTGACCAACAGTATATGACCCCTATAATCCCCAGATAACTGCAAGCACCCACGACTGTGCCTGCGACTTTTTGTTGTTTTCTCAGAGAGGGTCTTATGTGGCCCAGGCTGGCCACGAACTCACTATGTAGCTGAAGGTGACCTTAACTCCTCCAGCCTCTATCTCCAGAGTCCTGAGATTATAGCGTGAGGCTTCTGGGCCTAGTTTATGCAGTGCTAGGGACTGAAACCAGGGCTTGTTGAAGACACACTACAGACTGAGCTACATCTCCAGCTCCTGTATCTTTGTCTGTCTCAGGGTCTCTTCTCACTCCTCACAGCAGCCCCAAGACATGGACCGAGGATCACCCTGCTCTACAGGCAGAAAATGCCTGGCTCGGAGAGATTAAGTGACTTGCTCAAGTTAGTGACATTTTAATAAAGACTTCTTGAAGACCAGCAAAGCCTGTAAGACGGAAGGAGATGAAGATAAATGCTACCCAGTCAATAGAAACCCTAGAATCCTATGGCAATTCACAGCCTGGTGCTCAGTCCATGACAGTCCCAGCTTCTTCCCCGTCGGTCTTACATGCACCGGTACCCACTGGGGGACCCCTGACCCTAGCATAAAATCTCCCTGCCACCCAGATGTGTTTTTAAGAAGTGTAGCCCCCAGGGATCCCCCATGAGATAGGCTGTCCAGGGGGCCGAAAGGTACCAGAAGGGTAGCAGGTGCGTCCAGATGTTGAGGGTCTCATTGGTCATTTGGAAAAGGCTGAGGATACAGGCAGTGGCGGAACTCTGTGGGTGTCGGTAGCCAAAGAGGATGCCCTGCTCGTGGAACACCTGTGGAGTGAAGACAAGGAACGGGCGAGGAGGTGAGACAGAGGGACGGGTGTCTCTGGCTAGCATCAAGTTTCCTGGGTGACTGAGTAGTTCCTTGACCTGGTCCTCTCCCTTCCTGTCTTTGTCCACTCCCTTCCCAGGAGCTCCTGAGATCCCCTGTCCTCCAAGCAGTCCCTCGCCAGTTGGGACCCAAGGGCCAGGCTGGCTTTGGGAGTGCAGCCTGGCTTTGCATTCCTAGCTACGCTTACCCTTGGCATGAATGTTGTCTAAGGGTCCGTGTTTGCACTCTGCCTGAGGCCCAAGGCCTGGTCTTTAGATGCCTTCGTGGTTGGCTTGCATGTATGCTGTGTACCTGAGCCAGCCTGCCCTGGATGTCAGAAGCTAGGAGGGTGATCTCTGCAAGAGATCCTGCCAGTGGGATGATGTATTCACAAGGCACTTCATAAAGGCCTTTTGATGATGAGGCCAGTGATGCTGAAGCCTGGACTGTGGGAAGAGGAGGCTGGCCACAGCAGGATCATTGAGCCACACAGTCCCCAAGAGGCCACTTGGTAAGCACCGTTCTTTCTTCCCCCAATACCTCCAGTAAGAAACTTAGACTGGCCGGGTAAGAGCTGGGGTATTGACTTGTATTGTATTATATCCATTAAACATGGTAACAAAGGGCTAGGAGATGGTTCAGTAGGCGAAGGGTCTGTTGTGCAATCATGAGTACCTGAGTTTGGATTTCAAGCACCAGTGTGAAGTCCTAAGCATGGGAAGCAGGGAGAGCCTGTAATTCCAGTGCTGGGGAGATGGGGACAGAAGGACCCCCGGGGTTTGTCGGGCAGCCATTCTAGCCAATTGGTGAGCACTGGGTTTAGTACAAGATGCTGTCTCAAAGAATACGGTGGCAGCTGGGTGTGGTAGAGCACCCCTCAGAAGACAGTCAGGCAGATCTCTGTGAGTTCAAGGCCAGCATGGTCCATGTAGCAAGCTCCGGGCCAGCCAAGGCTACATAGAGAGACCCTGACTCAATAAATATGTAAATAAAGAAGGTGGCAATGCAACAGGGGGGATGTCCAGTGTCACTCTGACCTGCACGTGAACACGCATGCGCTCATACACACCACAACTGACAAAACACTGCGGCAAGCGGGCCCCCAACTCAGAATGCAGTGTCAAGGGAGGAAAAGTGGACTCTAGTCCTGCCCGACTACGGAAATGCATATACTCACAGTGGGGCAGGGGCTGGGAAGGACACAGAAAAGGAAAGGCTTCCATTTGCTGAGCTAGTTGGATAACAGGAAATGCATCTCCCTTTTCGTGTTGTCGCTTAGCTCAAGGTTTCTTCCCACGTCTGGCATCCGGGGCCAGATGGTTCTTTGATGTGAAGACTGGCCTGCTGTGTGCCTGGCCTGTCTATCAGCTGGAAGCACTCACTCTGACTGCAAAGCCCTTCCCATGTCAAGTTATGACAACTCAAAGTCTTCAGACACTGGAATGGTCTCTTGGCGGCAACATCTAACTCTGGTTAAGAACACCACTTTTGTTTGGTTTGTGACAGGCTCACTCTGTATAGCTCAGGCTGACTTCAAACTCATAGCAATCCTCCTGCTTCAGCCTCCCCAATGCTAAAATCATATGTGTAAAACATCATGCCTGGCTAGAACCACTGATTTCAATGGTTTAAAGACTCATAACCTCTGGAAGGTAAATTATAGCTAGTGAGATGGCTTCACAGGTAACGGTGCTCACTGCCAAGACTTACGGCCGGAGTTCAATTTCCAAACCCACACGGTGGGAGGGGAGAACTGACTCCTGCAAGTTATCTTCTGACCTCCACACATGCATGCATGCATGCATGAACACACACACACACACACACACACACACACACACACACACACACACACACACACACTATAGGACTGGGTTGGCAGAGACAAATTATCACAATGTTGCTTGGTATTTAGTCCCCATGATGGAAATCAAGTCACACACTTGAAGTTTCCCCTTTGCTGTCTTGTGGGAGAAGGGGCAGCTGCAAGAGCCCCCCCCCCCCCCGCCCCGGCTGAGCACGCATGAAGCCTTGGGTTTTATTTTTATTTCACAGCACTGAAAACCAAAGCAAAGCATTGCACAGAGCACAGCTGTTCCTACCTCTCGCTGTTCCAGTCAAGAGTTCCCACAGAGCTATAAAGAAAGTAAGTCAGAAGGCATATTCAGAAGGCACAGGCCTGAAATCTTAGCCCTGGGGAGGCTGAGGCAGGAGGATCTCTACGAGCCCAAGGCCAACCTGGCATACATAGCAGGACTTCATCTCAAAAAAGAAGAACCACACTGACGCCCCTGTGGTGCCATGGGACCTATGAAATGGGAAGGTGGTGACCTGCACGGTAGGTGTTACAGTTTCCTTTCTCCTGCTGTGATAAAATCCTCTGACCAAAAGCAACTTGGAAAAGGAAAGATTGACTTTTATAATCCCAGATCGCAGCCCATCACTGACAGGAGCCCAAGGCAGGCCTGCTGGCTACTCCACACATCATTAACTCCAATCAAGAAACTCGTTTCACAGCCAAGAAATACAGCAGGAACCACGGAGAATGCTGCTTGCTAACTCGCTTGCTCCCAGGCTCAGGCTCAGCTAGCTTTCTTAGATAGCCCGGGATCACCTGCCCAGGGAATGGTGCCGCTCACGGTGGGCGGGAGCCCTCCTACATTAACTAACAGTCGAGAGAATCCCCCATAGACACGCCCATAGGACAATCTGATCAAGGCAGTTCCTCAGTGGGGGCTCACCTCTCAGAAGACTCTAGGCTGTGTCAAGCTGACAGTTAAGACTAACCAGGGCAGCAGATGTGTGGCTTTCTCGTGTTAGCTATACCAATTTTAGGAAACATTAAATTCAGTGCTGGCGAAACTGGTTAGGCAGTGGGAGGGGGGACAGAGAAGCTGATTTATGGTCTCATAAAGAAATACAGTTTGGGGGCTGGAGAGATAGCTCATCGGTTAACAGCCCTTGCTGCTCTTGTACAGGACCTGGGTTCACTTTCTAGCACCTTCATGATGGCTTGTAACCACATAACCACTTGTGACTCCAGTTCCAGGGAATTCAACACGCTCTTCTTGCTTCCCTGGGCACCACACACATGATTTGAGTGGGGGCAAGTGAGAGGGGGAAGTTGGAGGTGGACAGGATCAAGATGCATTGTATACATGTTTTATATTGTCAATAAATAAAAGACATTATAAACTCATATTTAAGACAGCAGTAAATATATATACTTTAAAAAAAAAAGAAATACAATTTGAATTAGGTTTGGGCCTTAGCTAATGAAAATGATTTGCTTCCATTTTTATAAAATTGTTTTCATTTTACATACCAACCACAGTTCCCCCTCCCTCTGCTTCTTCTACTCCCCTACCCCAACTCTTCTCCTACTCCACCCCCCATCCACTCCTCAGAGAGGGTAAGGCCTCCCTTGGGGAGTCAACAAAGCCTGGCACATCAAGTTGAGGCAGGACCAAGCCCCTCCCGCTCCTGAGTAAGGCCTCCCACCATAGGGAATGGGCTCCAAAAAGCCAGTTCATGTACCAGGATAAATCCTGGTCCTACTGCCAGGGGCCCCACAAACAGATCAAGCCACACAACTGTCACCCACATTCAGAGGGCCTATTTCGGTCCCATGTTGGTCCAGAGTCTGTGAGGTCCCACTAGCTTGGGTCAGCTGTCTCTGTGATCGTGATGATCCCATCATGATCTTGACCCCCACCCCTCCTCATATAATCCCTCCTGTGACTCTTCAACTGGACTCCAGGAACTTGTCTCAGTGTTTTGATTTGCTTCCATTTTAAAAAAAACAATCATTTAATATTCTGTCTTTTGGGGAAAGGATCTCATGCAGCCCCGGCTGGCCTTGAACTAGATGCACAGAATGACTGTAAACTTCTGATCGTCCTGCCTTCACCTCCAGAGTGTTGAGATTACGCATGCACCACCACACCCGGTTTATGGGGCTCTGGAGATCAGACCCCGTACTTCTAACATACAACCAGAGCCGCATCCCAGCCCTTGTTCCAGTTTCAGATTCACTGGTCTGCTGATGTACCTGGCTTACAGTGAACAGAGTCATACCATAGACATAGGAATCTGGACCTGCACCCTCCACCTGGGCTATGGGTAAGGAAGCACGTGGGCCTTCTGCCTTTGATGCATGTGGAACAGGCTGTCTCTAATTTGGGGCATTCAGAAGGTTCTCCCTCAGAAAATGTACCTCCCAAGGGCTTCTCATTGATCCATCGTCAGACTACTTTTCAAGTGTTTGTCTTTTTCTTTTCTACTTTAAAAAGAAAAAAATTCCAGTGGGGATTTTTTTGGGGGGTTGCTGGGAAGATGGCTCAGAATTAAGAGCACTTGCTATTCTTACAGAGGACCTGGGTTCAGTTCCCAGCACCCACATGCCAACTCACAGCTATCAGTTAACTCCAGTTTTAGGGGATCTAGCACCCTCTTCTGGGCTCTTTGGGTACTGCACATACCTGATGCATATGCATACATGCAAGCCAAATGTTCATACATACAAAATTAACTAAATAAATCCTTTAAAAGTTTTGAAGCAGACTAAAGAATTGGGTGCTTATTAAGGTGCAAAGTCTCCAGAAAGGAGCATGCATAATTACTTGTTTGCTCCTTTGTGTGAGTTAGCTAAACAGAGCCTTACTTTAAATTGTTGCGTAACACACAGCAAGGAAGACTTTACTCAGGACCACTGTAATAGCTGTGGCATAGGCAAGTGGAGTCTCTAGCCAAGGAGCAGATTGAGGGCTAGTCGTTGGAAAATCCCTAAGAGATGAGAGGAACCCGGCTAAACCAACCTGACGAGATTCTTGCTGAAAACAAGCCAGAGTGGTTGACTTTATCTGGGAGAGTGGGAGATAAAGAATCTGATCCTATAGCAAGGTGGTTGCATGTCAAGGAGTAAGGCTTCTGGCTAGCCCAGAAGGGGTCGCTCACAAAC